GCACCTCCAGTCCCAGGGTCTCCAGCCCCAGTGTCTCCAGCAGCGGCACCCCCAGACCTAGGGTCTCCAGTAGTAGCACCCTCAGGCTCAGCAGCACCTCCAGCCCCAGCAGCTCCAGTACCTCCAGTACGAGCACCTCCGGGACCAGCACCACTCCCAGCTCCAGTGACGTCAGCAGAAGTACCTCCAGCGGCGGAGCCCCGAGCTCTAGAAGCGCGACCCTGACGGCGACCGTACCAGTCGTGCAGCTGATGTGAGGTGAGAGGCACACGCGGACGAAGGCGGCTACTCCAAGGTGACCGCGCAGCAGCAGACTCAGAACCCTCAGGCGTCGCACCCCCAGACTCAGTACTCCCAGGCTCCTCACGCTCGGGCTCAGCACCTCCAGACACAGCACCCCCAGGCTCAGAACCTCCAGGCTCCTCACACGCAGGCTCAGCACCTCCAGGCTCCTCACGCTCAGGCTCGGCGAACCCAGACTCTGCACCCCCCGGCTCAGCACCTCCTGGGTCCTCACGCGTAGGCTCCGCACCCCTAGGCTCAGCACCCCCAAGCTCCGCACCCCCACGCTCCGCACCCTCAGGCCCAGTTTTTTAAAGACAGCACCACCCCCAGCAGGACCTGAGTCACCAGTGACCTCAACAGGCGCAGGCACGGGAGGGTCTACCTGAGAAACACCTGAAGGAGCAGGACCTGGCGTGGGGAGGGGGTCTACCTGGGGAGGACCTGGCGCGAGAAAGAGCGGCGAGGGGGGGGCAAGGGGCAGTGCGGTAGGGAAAGAGACGGTAAAAGGGGACGGACTTGTCAAAGGTGACGTCCTGAGACGGAAAGACACGGCGCGAGGCGGGGTCGTAAAACTGCCAGCCAGGCGCGTCAGGGACAAAGCCAAGGAAGACGCAGGGAATGGCGCGAGCGGAGAGCTTGTCCGCGGTGGTATCGCGGACAAAGGCACGAGCACCCCAGACCCGGAAACGCGACGCATCGCCAACCTTCCCCGTCCACAGCAGTGTGGGCGAGGTCTCCGGCAAGGAGACACGGGGCTAGAGGTTGAGCTGATGCGCGGCGTACCGAACCGCAAACGGCCACAGAAAATGGGGGGCAGCCGCATGGATCATGGAGGTACGAGCGACCTCCATGACTAAGCCAATGCGGCGCTCAGCAACCCCATTCTGCTGCGGAGAGGCCGGAAGCGTGAACGTCTGGCGGATGCCGTGCTCCGCACATAAGGCTGCCAAGAGGTATGAGGAGAACTCACCACTCCTGTCAGAGTGCAGACGCAGGACAGGAAAGTCCGACTGGAACCGCTCACGGAGCTGGAGACGAACAGCGCGGATCCAAGGGATCAAAACATCAGGGACCTCCCCCTTGCGCTGCAAGGGGAAGACCGTGGTGTAACGCGTGTAGTCGTCGACGACCAGCAGGAAGTACCGCTCGTGGCCCTGTCCACGGACGCGGGCTGGGCCCCACACGTCTAGGTGGAGAGTCTGCAGTGGAGCCTCTGTGGGAGGGAACGAGGAGGAGTGAGGAGCGGCGCGCTGCCGCCCCTCGACGCAAGGAATGCAGGGCGGCGTAGGCGAGGGAGGGAGGGCAGGCAGAGACCTGGGAAGGCCAGAGACCAGGAAGCGAGAGTGCATGCTACGAAGGCGAGGCAGGGAGGGGTGACCAAGGCGGTGGTGCCACAGGAGAGTGTCGTGCGACAGCCGGCGACACTCACACTGGGTAGCTACCCGAGCAGACGCGTACAGCTGGGGAGACTAAGGGGTGGAGCGCGACGCAGTGGTGAGGGTGTACAGACTAGACCCAGGCGCACGTGTGAACGTGGCCAGGTGACGGCTGGTCCGGGAGCACGTGCAGATCGCCACACGCTGTCCTCCAGGAGTAAAGGTGTCAACCCAGTGATCCTGAAGGACTGCGTTGCTCACCAAGTTCGTAGAGAACGAGGGGAGGTGGAGACCAGACAGCTCACCAGACGGGACCGCCGGACACGGAAGCACAGTGGAAGACCGTGCAAACACTGGGCACCCAGAGGGGTCAGCCAGTGAGACAGGAACAGGTGCAGGGAGGGGAGTGACTGTGGTGCTGTCGCGAAAGAAACAGCGGGAAGCACCAAAGTCAAGTGTGAAGGTGTGCAAGGCCTGTGCGGACGCAGTACCAGGAGGAGCAGACTCACAAGCACCTAGTGCCACATGCGCTATACCTGTGGCTATACCGGGGTCAGGCGGCACACACGAGCACTAACAGTCAATGCATGCATGGCAACAAGAATAGCCTCATAGTCAAGATCAAAGATAGGTACATCACGCCTAAGCAGGTCTGCCCAGTTGGGGAACTCAGTAGCATCAGGAGACTTGACGCGCCAGGCGTCGCTAAGCCGAGCGAAGCAGCGGTACTCAGTGTGAAACCCTGTGCACTGGCGACCAGCGCGGGGACCTGTGCGAATGATATAGGGGCAGCGACCAGGACCCCCAGACGCCCCACGCCCGGCATACCAGTCAAGAAGCGGCTGGGAAGTGGGGGTCTGGCGCTGACGCTGCTGCTGCTGCTGCTCCCCCTGGCCACCACTGGTGTCACCCAAGCCCCCACCACCGCCGCCACCACCACTCCCCCCTCCGCCACCACCGCCGCCGCCACCGCCACTGCTCCCGGCACCACCACCGCCCCCACCACTACCTCCACCCCCACGACCACCGCCACTACCTCCACCGCCCCCGCCGCCTCCACCACCGCCCCCTCCACCGCCACGTCCGCCACCCCTGCCACCCTTGCCCGCCCTGAAGCCGCTGCGCTTCCCACTCGGAGCGGAAGCAGCTGCGACCTTCTCAGCACCAAGGAGGTCGTTAGCAACAGCTGCGGAGGCGTAGGAGGGGGTAAGAGGGGAGGGGGAGCACCCCTCAAAGAGGGGAGTGCGGGGAGTACCACGAGCAGCACCTACAGCTAGAATGTTCTTCTCGGCTGCTAGGAGGTGCTTCTCGATTTCGTCGACAGCGAGAGAATGGGGGTCAAGGGCGAGGAAGTGGTCCCTGACAAAGCGAAGAGTGTCAGGGAGGCGGGTGATGAGGAAGTAGAGAGTAAAGTACATCGGGGGGTGGTTCTCTGCGAGGAACTCGGCTGGAAGGGCGGCACGAAGGCGAGTGTCACTAGCGGGTAGGTGAGAGATGAGGTCCTCAGCGGTGGTAAACAAGGACAGGTCGGGGAACAGGTAGGGTAGCATAAGTCGACCGAGGGGTGCAGTGGCCGGGGAAGAGTAGCGGGCAACTACAGCGTCGTACAGGGCCTTGGCCGTCTTGTGCTGGCTAAAATGTGCGCGCTCTGTGATCGGCAGATGGTTGCGAATAGCTAGGCGCGCAGCAGCATCGCGGGTCTGCCACTGGGAGCGGTCTAGAGCAGGCTCAGTGTCAGCAGGAGCAAAGGCAGTGCCAGACACGTAATCGAACAGGGAAACACCGTCCTTGGCATCAGTCAGGAGGAACAGTTGCAGGTCGTCGAGCCAGGTGGCGAACTCTACTGGACGACCGTCAGGATCGAACGCGAGCACATTAAGCGTCGCCATAGTAGCAGTGCAGGCAAGGCAGCGGAGATGGCGTGCGGGGCAAGCAAACGCGCGCAGTAGGGAGGCACGCGCGGCAGGAAAGGCGCTCAAGGCAAGCAGGCGCACTTGGCAGGCAGGCGCTCAAGGCAGGCAGGCGCTCAAGGCAGGCAGGCGCTCTTGGCAGGCAGGCGCTCAAGGCAGGTAGGCACTCAAGGCAAGCAGGCGCTCTTGGCAGGCAGGCGCTCCAGACAGGCTAAGACAGGCAGGCGCGCGGCTCACGGGCGGCACACGGGCAGGGCATGCGCGGCTGCGGCCTGCGCGCGGCTGCTGGCTGCGCGTGGCGACAGGCTGCGCGCGGCTGCGGGCTGCGTGCGGTGGCGGGCTGCGCGGGCGGGGCCTAAGCGGGCTCCGCGCGGGCGGCTTAAGCGGCGCGCGGGCCGGCAGCAGGCTGCGCGGGCGGCTGACGCGGCGCGCGGGGCCGAAAACGGGCTGCGCGGGCTGCTTAAGCGGCGCGCGCGGGAAAAAAAAAAAAGGACCGCGCGCGTGCAGCCGAGGCGCGCGCGGGCAGCAGGCAAGGCAGGCAGGCAGGCAAGGCGGTAGGTGAGGTAACGCGGTAACCGGTGGGCCCTAATCTTAGGTCCTAAAGACCTACTGCTGTGATACCATCTTAGAAACTTAGGCATGAGTGACTTGCAATGTCGAGAGATTTGGTACAAGGAAGAAACCTAAGGGGTCCCCACAGTATCTACCCCACTACAGCCTACCCAAAACTATAACACATATATATGTTTGACACAGAGCTGTGCGCTAGCCCGCAACAAACGGTCCACCCTGGCCGGCCCCTAGGTTCATAGAAATACCAGCTCCTCCCATCTCCCAAGCACATTGATTTTCGGTTCTTTCAACCACAGACCTCACCGCTCAATCCATGCCGCCAACAGCATTCTCGCATGTGCGATATGACAGTCATCATCATGCATATTGCACATGCAACGGCCTTCTCCACACCATCTTCCATTCAGGACATGTTAAATTTTATAAGTGTGTAACCCTTTTAAAAAATTGTGTATTGTGAAAATGTAGCGATTGCTAACGCAGCAAAGGCAGCGTAGCATCGCTACTCGCCCTCTTTTGGCTACAAAAGAAGGGGTTGAGGCCATTCGGCCTCACCCACGTTCTTCTTTTCAATTTCAAAGTTTGAGTTTCCCACCCACTCACCCATGTAGTAATTATCTCTAAGATTCTTGCTGTAATCGTAGTTATCATGGGACGAGATTGATGTACTCATACCCATATGAAATGAAGCACGATGCCTTTACAAGTTGCAGAAAGCAAGCTTTCACAATCTTCCTTTTCAGGATTGTCTCGATCAGGTCCGGTCATCCATCCAAAGCCTTCTGTTTGGGCGTCCGTGGGGGATTCCGCTCCCAGGGATTCCATTTATAGTCCTCTTCAGTTTGGGGTATTCTCGTCAATACCCCGAACGCGGCTGGTTACGCATTTGCCCGGATCCGCCCTTCCCCGAACCAGGGGACATTGGGGCCGACGAGCCGTACGGGGCGGCTGGCACTGGTGGGCGTATTCCGTACGGAGTCGTCATGCCGCCGCCCATGCCTCCGCCCATTCCGCCCCCTATTCCGCCGCCCATCCCACCGCCCATTGCCCCAGGCATTCCCATCCCGCCTCCTGCTGCTCCTCCTGCTCCAGCCGTAGCATTGGGATTGGGGGGTGTCATTGGGCTGCTGTAGCTTGAAAACTGCTGGTGGGGAGGGGGGACAGGGGAAGGGGGGAGGGTGTTTGGTAATGAGAGAAGGAACGAGAAGGGGATATCAAGTATCAAGGCATTTTAGACATGCATTCAGCACAAAATACATTATCTGGTTGAGCTGAGATCCATAATCCATGTACCTTCCACTAACCCCCTGGTAGGGCATCCCATGCCCGAATAGGTGCAGGCTGCTGTGACGACCAATACTTGCCGACTGAATGACTAAACCACTGAGCTAAACCACTGAGCTAAACACGTTACCTGGTTCAGCTGCGACCCATAGTCCGTGTACCCTCCGCTAACCCCCTGGTAGGGCATCCCAGAATAGCCGCTTCCTGTGAAAGGCAAGAGATGGTGGGGTGGGGAGGGGATGGAGTGTAAGAGGATAAAGGGAGGGAGGGATGGAAAAGTGGAGATCAGTTCAGTACAGCCTACAGGCATCAGTAGTAAGAGCCTTTGAGGCCAAAGGTAGAAAGTGCGATTTCTTTTTGGGTTTTGGAGAATTTTACTGGCGGCGCGGCACAGGAGTTGGAAGCAGAAACCCTCCGGGTGCCCAGGTTCGGCTCTCAGCCCTCTAGTTGGAGGCCAACCCCTCCAACATCACTGCTTTGCCGAGTTTGAGATGTCTCAGAAGCCAGCAGCTTGCTTCAAGCACTTCTCCTGGCATTTACCATTCACCCGGGCCTAGATTTGAGAATTCCCAAAAGTGACTCAAATATGCCACCGCCCATGCAGTGCCGTGACGTTCCATCTCAACACCCCTGCCTAATATTCCGGTTTTGAAAACGTTTGAAAACTCGGTGGTCAAACAGAGTCGGGTTCTGCATTGTTCGAGTCTTCTGCATGCAACACCCCTACTAGTAAGTTATTAACGACCAGCAGAAGTAAAATTCTACTCCACATACACCAGATATGCTTATAACAAGTACGGGTCTTGAGAGTCTTTAGACTGTCAGTCCCAGTTTTTTTACCTCGAACGTAGCAGGAGGGGATGAAGTTGAACGTTCCAAAACTACAGACTTGCCGGGGGCATAACTTGAGTGTACTGCGAACCCTCTAAATTAAGAGGAGTGCGAGAACAAGGAAAGCTAAAAACTAGAAGAGACACATAAGGAGCACTCAAGGACTCAGAAGGAGTGCGAGCACTAACAAGAGAAAGGCTTATGCCAACAAGAGACACTAACCGTAGCGACACCCTGAGACCACGAGGAAGGTTGATGGATGTTAATATTTGATGCCAAATTAATTCAAACAATGATCCTCACTCACCTGCCTGTCTGCCTTCTGCCTTTTCAGGGTAAGAACGAACCCACTCGGGGATAGAGAGAGGGAGCGACATAGAGAGAGGGACACGGAAAGGCCCCACCCCATCTAAGTAGTGAATCAAGATCACCTGTCTGCTGCACCCTCCTTGAACTCAATCTCAAGTTTCCAAAACAGAGCGACCACTAGAGCGCAGAGAGCGAATGCAGGAACATTGTGCCAGAGTCAGGAGAAGCGCCACATACTCTGGAACGGTGCGCCAGCTAGCATGTTTGGGTGGCGGCGGCGGCATTAAGCTAACGATGAATCAACAAGGGCAACTAAGGGGTAGAGCGACTAGAAAGGCCGAGCAAATCCTCTCTCACCTGCCCGTCTGCTGCAGCTTGCGCACTTCTGAACTGAATTTTCAATCAAGAAGGAGAACTAGAGGGTAGAGCGACTAGAAAGGCCGAAAGAGACAAAAAAAGGATTAAAAAAAAAAGGGTTAAAAAAAAAAAAAAATCATATCATTCCAAAGGCAGGAAAAAAGGTTTGCCGGAGACCCTGGAGGGAAGTGCCAGCTGGCATGTTGGGCGGCTGCTGGCTCGTCATGGGTGGCAGGCCGGCGCGCCTTCCGTCGCTCCACCAAATATAACTGCACTAACTGCACTGCACTCCCACGTGCAGCGCAGCACTGCAATCCCTCTCCACTTATCACACACACTAGCAGAGGCAATGGCGATCTGAGCCTTGAGTCGCTCCACATCCCGAGTAGAGGCAATGAAATTCTTCTCCATGGCTCCACCAGGTATAACCGTGCTGCACTCCCTTTTACCGCACTGCAATCCCTCTCCACTCATGCTTACTACCTTGGCTCATCATGGGCGGCAGGTTGGCGATTTGCGCCTTGAGGCGCTCCACGTCCCGAGCAGAAGCAATGAGATTCTTCTCCATGGCGCCCCGCTGCTCCACCAGACGTAACCTTGCTGCACTCCCTCTTACCGCACTGCAATCCTTCTCTCCACACCACACTCATGCTTACTACCTTGGCTCATCATGGGCGGCAGGTTGGCGATTTGGGCTTTAAGGCGCTCCACATCCCGAGCAGACGCGATGAGATTCTTCTCCATGGCTCTGACCGCACTGCACTCCCTCTCACCATACTGCAACCCCTCCTCCTCTCTCACCCACTACCTTGGCTTATCATAGGCGGCAGGTTGGCGATCTGAGCCTTGAGACGCTCCACGTCCCGAGCAGACGCAATCAGGTTCTTCTTAATGACTCGACCAGGTCTCACTGCACTGCTTCTCCCCTATTACCGTGCTGCAATCCCTGTCACTACCTTGGCTCATCATGGGCGGCAGGTTGGCGATCTGTGCCTTGAGACGCTCCACGTCCCGAGCGGAAGCAATGAGATTCTTCTCCATGGCGCCCCGCTGCTCCACGAGATCCATGTTGGCCTTCTTCTCATACTCCACCGCTTGCCTATGATCGGACAGAAACAAGGTGTTCGTGCGGAATGGGATGGGATGGAATGGGGCATACACGAACCAATGCTGCCTAGGCTACAGCCACCCCACGCCTTTCCCCGCTGCTCCACGAGATCCATGTTCGCCTTCTTCTCATACTCCACCGCTTGCCTATGAGTGAGAAGAACAAGATGATATGGTGCAGTGCGGTATCGCATGGTATGAGATGGGTCAAACGGACCAACGATGCCTAAGCCTACCACCAACCGTCAACCCGCCGCTCCACCAGATCCATGCTGGCTCTCCTCGCACTCCACCCTCGCCTACATACGGATGAGTTCAATGCGGTATGAGATGGTATGAGTCGGTCATGGCAGTCAGTGTCAAGGACGTGGGCACACCACCAACTATCAGCCCGCTGCTCCACCGGTGACTAGTCCTTATAGAATTCTAAGAATCAGCCCACTGCTCTCCTGCCCTGCTTCCCTGCTGCCCGCTGCTTCATCAGCGCTCCGTTCTTTTTAAATCATAGAAATCCGCCTGCTGCCCTGCTGCCCGGCTGCCCACTGCTCCACCGGGGACCTCATCTGTTAAAATTCTAGGAATCGGCTCACTGCCCTGCTTCCCGCCCGCTGCCCCACTGCCCCAGCCCTGCTACCTGCTGCCAGCTGCTGATTGAAAAAGCTATCAAACAAATTCCTCTTAGGGGAGTGCGTGCTCCGTGGAGGACCAACCAAGTGTTAGGCACGTTCACATCATTCTTGAGATTTCTAAAAAAGTGACTCACAGTTGCCTGCTCGCACCATGTGCTCTAAATGCAAGCAGGCGGGCGTACCAATGAAGCACACAATGCATTTGGTATTTTTAAGCACCTAAGGAACCATATCACTATTGAGGTGCCAAAAAAAACGTCTCATTTTGGAGGCGCCTCAGAAAACGGTCTCACTTTAGAGGCGCCTAGAAAAGGTGATAAACAGTGGACATGTGATAAACGGTGGGATGCACAGTGGGATTGGATGGCTGGTGGGATGCATGCATGCATGGCAGGATGCATGCACGGTAGTGGAATGGGATGTATCCTGCATGTGGGTGGGAGCAAATGCATTCAGCTTTAGAAGTAGCAACCAGGCAGCAGTCTGAAAAGACGACTGAGAAACCGCCTGCCAACTTCCCCTGCACACCTGGAGGGCACGTCTGAAAAAAGAGATCATGCCACGTGGAATGTTTGTGTTGCACATGCCACTATACACTGGCGGGACCCGTGTGTGTGTAACGTAGCGTGGAATGTGAGGCGTTGCATTGCCGATATCATGCCAGTGGATCCCATCCCACAACTGTGCAACGCAATGCTTTACATGCCAAGTGATGTGATGAGACTGAACCGCTTTCCTTGTGCATGCAAGACGACTACAAGATCGTGGCGTGATAAATGTTGGGTTTTGAGACGTCTCGATTTATCACGGGTGAATCCCACCACTGTGCTGTGCAACGCTAAACTTCACTTCACATGCCAAGCGTTGAGACAGGACCCTTTCCTTGTGCATGCTATCCAACATACAAGGTCGCGGCGGTGGAATTGCCAACGGTTGTTACAACGGTCGAAACGGTCGGAATTGCGTTTCCTTGACTCGCTGCAAGCCCCTGCCAGCAAACCCTAATCAAACCCTCCTTCCTGATACACGCAGTACAATTTTCGTGATACCGCCTGCATACTGCTTACAAGCGGAATGCAGAGAGAGATGTTCGCACGCACGTGCAAAGAGGTTTGCAGCTCACCTGGCGAGGGCGAGTTTTTGAAGTGGGGTTTGAGGCGCCTCAAACGCACCTCAATGCAAGCGGTATGCAGAGAGAGAGAAAGAGTTGTGTGTGCGCACATGGAAAGACGTTTGCAGCTCACGGTGCTCACCTGGCGAGGGCGAGTTGCTGGGTGCGGGCGTCCAGCTCCTGCCTGAGCTTCCACCTGCCCTATCCTATCTGCCCTATCTGTATCAACCTGCTCCATCTCTCTGCTAGGGTTTCAATGCTCACCTGGCGAGGGCGAGTTCCTGGGTAAGAGCGTCCACCTCCTGCCGCAGCTTGGGCAGCAGCTGCACGTCTGCATGCATGCGGTTCAGGTCCTGGTTCATCTGCCCTATCTGCCCTCGCATGTTCCCCTCCCTCCTTCATGCTAAGGCGCTTCAATGCTCACCTGGCGAGTGCGAGTTCTTGTGTAAGGCCATCTATTTCCTGCCGAAGTTTGGGCAGCAGCTGCACGTCTGCATGCATGCGGTTCAGGTCCTGGTTCATCTGCCCTATCTGCGCCGCCTGCTGCTGAATCTTCGCCTGCTGCTGCTGCAGCTGCGCCGACTGCTGCTGCAGCTGCTGCTGCTGCTGCTGGTGCTGCTGATGCTGCGCCATCCGCGCAGCTTCCTCTGCCTGCCTGCGTGACGTCAGCGCCTGGATCTCGCCCCTCGTGCCCTGAAGCTCCTGCCTTGCCGCCTGCAGCTCCTGCCTCAGTGTGTCTGGGGGAGATATTTATATGGGAAAAGGAAAAGGAAAATCGGAGAAGGTTGGGTATACATGGAAGAGCGCCTGGATCTCGCCCCTCGTGCCCTGAAGCTCCTGCCTTGCCGCCTGCAGCTCCTGCCTCAGTGTGTCTGGAAGGGAGGGACAAGGAAAAAGAGGGCAAAGAGAAGGGAGAGAGAAAAGGCTTGCTTCAAGCTACAAGTTTCCATCCATCAGCCCTCTGACAACCCTATCGCCTTGAGAAACCATAAACTAATAAAGTAATAAACGCACTCTCGTGCGTACCATACTAGCGATGCACTTTATTCCTTGAGAAACATTACCAAACAAAAACTCCAACAATACACACCTGCGCCTCTCAGATCCCCTTCACGCTTTGCATTGGTATCCATCAATCAAGCCTCCACACCTCCCTTGCTCCTCCTTAATACACGCACTCGCATGCCTACACCGCATTTTGCCTCACAAACAATCCAGCACACTCCAACTCACCTGCGCCTCTCAGGTCCGCTTCAAGCTTCGCCTTGGTATCCATCAACCCTCTGATTGACCACCTGATCCTCCATTTTCCAAGCAAGAATTTCTAGCTGCTAGAACACGCAAATGAGCGGACCCACATAGCACTGCATTTACCCTGTGCAGGCACAAGCGCATCAACACACCAACACAGCAACGCACCAGCGCCTCTCAGGACCGCTTCAAGCTTCGAATTGGTATCCATCAACCCCCTAACCACCTGGTGTGGTCCTCCTTCGTACACGCACCCGCATCCCTCTGCACTGCATTTTGCCTTGCACACACAACACCCAACACACACACACACACACACACAACACCCAACACACACACACACACACACACACACAACACCCAACACACACACACACACACACACACACACACACACAACACCCAACACACACACACACACACACCAACAGAACATACACGCACCCGCATGTGTGCATTGCACTCAGACTTACAAACAACACCCAACACTCACACACACACACACACCAACAGAACGCACCTGCGCCTCGCAGGTCCGCTTCAAGCTTCGCCTTGGTATCCATCAGCCTCTGACTGACCACCTGGTGTGGTCCTCCTTCGTACACGCACCTGCATGCATGTACTGCATTTCGCCGTACAAACAATCAAGTCATACGCATCAAACTCTCCAACGCACCTGCGCCTCTCAGGTCCGCTTCGAGCTTCGCCTTGGTATCCATCAGGCCCCTGACCACCTGGTCCTTCTCCCCAACGGCGCCTTTCAGCCGTTGGATCTCCCCCTGCGCAGAGGCCAGCTCCTGCCTGAGCGCCACGTGGGTCGCCGCCAGCCGTTGATTCTCCATCAGCAGCTGCTGGATGTCCCCCTGCTGGGCGGCAAGTTTAACTTCTAGCTGCTGCCCTGCTACGTTCTGGGCGGCAGGGGGTTGCGGAACAGGAACATGCATTCCCTGTGGGGGAGCCGGTCCCCGAACCACCACCTGGACCGGACCCGGACCTGCGAGTCCGGGTTGGAAACCAGGTCCGGGAACGAACGGAGGTCCGGCCTGGTGGACGATAAACGGCGGCTGACCGGCCGGGCCTTGAAACTGGACGGGCATTGGAGCCTGGCCGGCTTGTCTGGCTTGATAGACGGTTCCGGGTGCGCCGGCCGGCAAGGTAGGGCCGGCGGGATGCTGGTGCTGCGGTGCGGTTTGGATTAGGCCACGCTGCTGCTGCTGTTGCTGTTGCTGCTGTATGTGGCTTGAAGGGGGTTCCTGACGGCTGCGTCGCGAGTCTCGGGTCCTGAGCGCCATCTCGCTGATTTTCGCGAAAACGGGTTACCGAGACTTCAAGAGCTCAGGAGAGATACAGACGAGCCTGTGCAAGAAGCAAGGACGAAAAGGAACGTACGGGAATCAAATGAACGATAAAAATTACGCTGCGTTAATGAAATGTCGAGAATGTAAGGAGTTATGAATGAACGAAGGTAGAAGCGTGTCTATTCGCGAGACGATGAAGCACGAAAGCGGAAGTTGCACCCGAATGGAGAAACCTAGTTCGATCTCCAAGGTTTTCAAAACTGCAGAAACTTACCCTAGTCCCTAGATTTAATCGCAGACCTCAAATGAATTCTGCTAATGACTTGAAGAGCTCCTATCGCGTCCAGATTAATTACTAGCGAACGAGCTAACCAGAAATCAAAGAACACGCAAACTTTCTCGAGAATATCACAGCTCGGCGATGCCAAGACGCAAATACGGCCGATGGAGCAGAACTAGGCCAGATTTTTAGGGCGTGCTACAAATTACTCGATAGTGAGCTTTGGGAATGCCGGCAGAAAAGGTTGAGGAGACGATACGACAATCTCGCAAGTGTAACCAACCAGGTTAAACTAAATAAAAACTGTTCACATATTTTTCCAATCAAGAGCCTCCATGCAAATCACTTGAGTAGAGGTACAAACATCAAACCACTAGCACCTGTGGTTACAGCTCAAAATCAAAACATCACGAACAACAAGCAAGAACTAGTTCCGGCTAGAGCCGAACACACCAGCTAGTTGACTAAAAGCGTGATGGAAGGCTGGCGTCCGTCCACACACACCACATGCTAAATAGGTTCGTCGGGCGCAAGCAAGGAAAGCTTGGTTGGGTGATTTAGACATGGCATGGGATGGGAGTTTGTGGGTGGAGCAGACCAGAGTTGTGGTGGAACGATGGGATGGGGATGTAAAGTGGTGGAAAGATGGGAGCGGGACGTGTAGAAAGGGCATTGAGGCGGCTCTAGAACCACCAGCGATAGGAGTGGTGGTGAAGTCGAAGCGTTGATAACAAACAGGATGAACGGTTGAGATGATGATGCAGCTGAACAACAGACCCGTCGCAGTTGCGGTTGATGTGAGATGGATGGGGTTTGGATGGTTTCTCTTTCTCCCCGTCGTGTTCTGGGACGTCACAAAACGGGATGAACGGTTGAGAGGATGATGCAGCTGAACAGTAATCCCGTCGCAGTTGCGGATGATGCGAGATGGATGGGGTTTGAAGGTTTCCCCACTATAATCACCCCTGTTCGCTTGGCTCCTATTGCATACGGTGCAGTGTCCGTAGCAGCTTTACCTGCACTATACCATCCCCCTCCCTTCCTTCCTCCTCTCCTCCCCTCCTACCCTCCTCTCCTCCTCCACTCAGCCCCTCCTCCTGTCCACTCCTCCCTCCTCTGCTCCCCCCCTCCACCTCCTTTTATTGTACGTACGCCACTATCACAGTCACATCGTCCCGCCTCCCCCCCTCGTGGTGCACCCCTGCTGCCTTGGCTGCTATTGCATACGGTGTGGGCTCTGCTGTGCTCTCGCCTGCTTTATGTGCCATTGACACGAGCTTGCGCGCAACAGACTGGGGGGAGAACACGTGGGAAGAGAGGTAGAAAGAGTTGTGTGGATTAGGATGGGATACCGAAGTCACAGTGGCTGCTACTGCATACGGTGTGGGCTCTGTTGTACTCTCCCCTGCTTTATGTGCCATCGACACGAGCTTGCGAGCCACCGACTGGGGGGAGGGGAGAGGGAGAGGGGGAGGGGGAGGGGGAGGGGGAAGGGGGGAAAGGGGGAAGGGAGGGGGGTGAAGGTGAGATTGGAGTCGCATTGGCTGCTATTGCATACGGTGTGGGCTCTGTTGTACTCTCCCCTGCTTTATGTGCCATCCACACGAGCTTGCGAGCAACAGACTGGGGAGGGGGGGAGGGAGACGGGGGAGAGAGGCAGGGAGAGGGGGAAGAAGAGGTGGTGAGAGGGGAGTGGAGGGAGTGGGGGTTGCGCGGGTTGGGACAGAAGGCACACTGGCTGCTATTGCGTACGACTGGGCTCTGCTGTGGGCTCTGCACTCCAATATGCCCCGCAATCAACCACCTCTCCCACACTCGCTCCTCTCTTCCCCTCCTCCAGCGCCGCACACAGCACCAACCACGCACAGAGCTATGCACTTAATTCCCTCTCCCACACTCTACTCTCGCCCTTTTCTCCCCTCCTCCTCACCTCGGGTCTCTTCCCCTCCCCCAGAGCTGCGCAGAGCACGCACATGATAGTGTCGAGAAATAGATTGCCGCCAAACAGCCCACCTCTGCTCGCCTTTACCCTCTGCTCCCTGTTCTGCCCTCACCTCTCACTTCTCCTTTCTCACCTCGGGTTTCTTCCCCTCTCCCAGAGCAGCGCAGAGCACGCGCACGATGGTGTCGAGAAAGATATTGTCAAACAGCCCGTTGGTGGCTAGCAGAATCGCGTCCCCTGCTTGCACGGGAATGGTGTAATCCTGAGGATGTGAATGCACGAGGGGGGTGGGGAGAGGGGGAGGAGAGACACAGGGGTGGGGAGAGGGAAAAGACGAGTCAACGCACGATGGTGTCACAGGAACAAGAGATTGTCAAACAGCCCGTTGGTGGCGAGCAGAATGGCATCGCCTGCTTGCACAGGAATGGTGTAATCCTGCTCAAGTGAGGGGGGGTGAGGTGAGCCATTGAAGGGGTCAGGAGAAGGAAACAGGGGTCAGCTCAACACACGATGTGACTATGGTGTCGAGAAAGATATTGTCAAACAGCCCGTTGGTGGCGAGTAGAATGGCGTCCCCTGCTTGCACGGGGATGGTGTAATCCTGGGCAAGCAACCGCCGGGACACAGGGGTAAGGGGGAAACGGGAGCCAACGAAGAAGGGAAGGGAGAGGTGAAGGGGCGGAGAAGGGGGTGGGGGGCGGTGTCAGCACACGAGTGTGTCAAGCAGGTGTTATCTTTCTGTCGACAGAGAGAGAAGGGATTGCCAAACGACCTTACATTGCTGCACTCAGGTGCTCAGGAGCAGGATCAACAAAGTGACTCTTGAGTCGACTCAAAAGGGGCTCAGGAGCCGGGGCATACACGTGTTTGAAAGCTTACCATGGCTGAGAAAGGGGCTTGAACGCTCACCTTAGCACAGTCAGGGCCGTCCCCAGCCTCATGCCCGATTTGGAAAGGGTTTCCAAAAGAATGCTCCATGCGCTCCGAGCGGATCACCAGCTCGCCCCTCCTCAGCAGCACGAACCCACAGCTGCCTATGCTCGCCACTCGCAGGCGCTGAGGGTGGGGAAAAAGCGGAGTGGTGGGAAAAGGAATGGAGGAAACAGGGGAGGAAGTGGGAGGTGAGGGCAGGAGAGCAGTGGCATTCCTCTCTGAGCGGATCACCAGCTCGCCCCTCCTCAGCAGCACGAACCCACAGCTGCCTATGCTTGCCACTCGCAGGCGCTGCAGGAAAGGGAACGGGGTGAGAGAGGGAAAGGGTGGGTGGGGTGGAGGGGAGACAGATGGAAGAGAGAGAATCACCAGCTCGCCCCTCCTCAGCAGCACGAACCCACAGCTGCCTATGCTTGCCACTCGCAGGCGCTGATGGGGGAGAGGGAGGTGGAGTAGGGGAGAAGAGAGACGGGGGGGAATAGAAGGTGAGGGAAGGGGGCCGCATGGAAGCCCTATCCGAGAGAATCACCAGCTCGCCCCTCCTCAGCAGCACGAACTCGTAGATCCGTGAGACCTTTGGTATTTGAGGTACCACCCAAGATTCAACTCACATCCTTATCCAGCACAGCAAGGGCGATGGTGGACGAGCCGCGTAGATCAGTGCGGCTGTGGCTCTCCCTATAACCCCCTTGGGACCCATCGGGTCTAAATCAATACCCAGTCACGGCAAACGCCACACTACCAGCAAGTTCGATCGTGCAAGATTGATGGTGCAGGCAGGGTCCACTCACGTCTTTATCAAGAACAGCAAGGGTGATGGTGCAGGCAGGGTCCACTCACGTCTTTATCAAGAACAGCAAGGGTGATGGTGCAGGCAGGGTCCACTCACGTCTTTATCAAGAACAGCAAGGGTGATGGTGCAGGCAGGGTCCACTCACGTCTTTATCAAGAACAGCAAGGGTGATGGTGCAGGCAGGATCCACTCACGTCTTTATCAAGAACAGCAAGGGTGATGGTGCAGGCAGGGTCCACTCACGTCTTTATCAAGAACAGCAAGGGTGATGGTGCAGGCAGGGTCCACTCACGTCTTTATCAAGAACAGCAAGGGTGATGGTGCAGGCAGGGTCCACTCACGTCTTTATCAAGAACAGCAAGGGTGATGGTGCAGGCAGGGTCCACTCACGTCTTTATCAAGAACAGCAAGGGTGATGGTGCAGGAGCCGCGTAGATCCGTGCGGCTGTGGATCTCTTCAACCACTCACCTAGTCACTTGGTTTCGGGGGTTAGTACCCAAGGCTTCCACTCACATCTTTATCCAGCACGGCGAGAGTGATGGTGCAGGATCCTCTCAGGTCAGTGCGGCTGTGGCTCTCCTCAATCACCCCCTTGGGATCCATTGGGTCTAAATCCTCCTCATCATCATAGTACCCATAGTCGTAATCATCCCCTCCCGCCCCCACTCCGCTCACCACCCCTCCTCCCGCACCCCCCACGCCCCTCCCCCTCCTGCCGCCCGCTCCGCCGCCCATGCCGTCCACACTGCCGCCCGCCGCCGCCCCCCGCCCGACGCCTGCCGAGTCGTTGTGATCCGAATCTAGCTCAGAATCGGATCTCCCTTCAAGATGGTCGGCAAAGTCATCGTCGGTTTCCTCGTCCTCGTCGCTATCTGCTCCTTCCTGCCGCGACCGAATCACGTTGACACAGTTCCACATCATCTCACGGGAATATAAGCCTGCGTTGATGCCTGGTGGAGGGACGAGGGGTGAGGGGTGCGGGGTGAAGGACGCATGGGAAGGGGAGGCAGGAAGCAGAAGTGGCATTTGGTGTTGTGCCGGTCAGACAGGTGACTGAAGGCACCTGCTGTTCCCCTCTACCAGTGCCCCTCTGTCAGTTACTGTCAAACTCATCCGCAAAGTCATCATCGGTTTCGTCGTCCTCCTCACTGTCTGCTCCTTCCTGCCGCGACCGAATCGCGTTGACACAGTTCCACATCATCTCACGCGAGTATAGGCCTGCGTTGATGCCTGGTGGATGCACGGGGTGTGACGGATGAGGTGTGAGGGACGCATGGGGAGGGGAGGGGAGGCAGGAAGGAACCGGGAGTGGCGTTTGGTATTGTGGTGGTCAGTCAGGTGAATGAAGGCGCCCGCCTGCCATTCACTGTCGGGATTCCCTTCCAGATGGTCGGCAAAGTCGTGTACAGGCCTGCGTTAATGCCTGATGGTCGCATGGGGTGAGGGGCGCAGGGTGAAGGACGCATGGGGAGGGGAGGCAGGAAACGGGAGTTGCCTTAGGCGTTGTGGCGTTCAGGCAGGTGACTAAAGGTATCTCCCTTCAAGATGGTCGGCAAAGTCGTCATCGGTTTCATCGTCCTCGTCGCTATCTGCTCCTTCCTGCCGCGACCGGATCACGTTGACACAGTTCCACATCATTTCACGCAAGTACAGCCCTGCGTTGATGCCTGGTGGATGCATGGAAGTGGGGGAAATGTGGGGAGGAAGAGGGAGATGTGGTGGGTGGTGTGGGGAAAGGAGAGAACGAATCACGTTGACACAGTTCCGCATCATTTCACGCGAATACAGCCCTGCATTGATGCCTGGTGGATGCATGGAAGCGGGAGCACATGGCGTTGATGCCTGGTTGCCGCATGGGATGCATGGAAAGGGGCGAAAATGGGAGGAGGGAGTTGGGATCGGTGGGATGGAAGAAGGAGCAAACGAATCGCGTGGACACAGTTCCACAACATCTCTCAGGAATACAGCCCTGCATTGATGCCTGTGAACACGTGAGGGGCGGGAAAGAGGGGAATGCCATCTGCCACACGCTCAGCCAGTTGCCTCCACACAGAAAACACACCCAGCACCCCTCACCATCCCTCACCACCTCTCACCACCCCTTCCCACCCTTAACCACCGCTCACAACCCCTCACCACCGCTCACCACTCCTCTTCGCCGCTCACCTTGGTCTGTCCACGTGCCAATGCCATCTGCCACGCCCAGCCAGTTACCCTCCACCAAGTAAGCATCGTCACCACCCCTTGACGCCTGCACACAGCAGCAAAACCGCCGCATACAGAGGAGGACTAGTGAGAGAGGGTGTGTGTAGGTGGGATGTTTCAACTTTCAAGGCCACGCCCAGCCCAGCCAGTTGCCCTCCACCAGATAAGCATCATCACCACCCCTTGACGCCTGCACACAAAGGTACCATACAGGGACGAAAATGAGTTCAACTGTTCTAAAATTCCAACAAGTATCACATGTTGCCACCCCTTTTTGAACAACCCACCCCAACCTTCAGCTACAGCCTGATTTGAAAATTCTCGAAAACTTCGGAGCGCAGCGTAACCCCAAGCAGCACCGTACCTTACCCCGGGCAGCTACGGCCCGTTTCCAAAAATTTCTAGAAACAAATACTCACTCGAGCAGGGTGGGGCACGCTGTAAACTCCAACCTTGAGCTGCAGCTGATGCAGCACCACATCCTCCTTGCGCTCAGAGGGCTGGATGGCCAGGCTGGGGAGGGAGGGGAGAGAGGGGAAGAGGAGAGGAGAATGGTGAATACCACAGAGGGCCAGCGGTGAGCTGTATGTAGCCTTCAGCTGCAGCAGCTGATGCAGCACCACGTCCTCCTTGCGCTTCGAGGGCTGGAGGGCCAGGCTGGGGGAATGTGGGGAAAGAGCATGGTGTGAATGGTGTACACTGTGGTGAGAGAGAGGAGAACACGTGCAGCTCTCAGCTGCAGCTGATGCAGCACCACGTCCTCCTTGCGCTCTGAGGGCTGGATGGCCAGACTGGGGGAAGAGATGGGTGGAGAACGGTGTGAATGGTGTACACTGTGGTGAGAGAGAGGAGAACACGTGCAGCTCTCAGCTGCAGCTGATGCAGCACCACGTCCTCCTTGCGCTCTGAGGGCTGGATGGCCAGACTGGGGGAAGAGATGGGTGGAGAACGGTGTGAATGGTGTACACTGTGGTGAGAGAGACGGGAACACGTGCAGCTCTCAGCTGCAGCTGATGCAGCACCACGTCCTCCTTGCGCTCTGAGGGCTGGATGGATGGCCAGGCTGGGGAAAATCTCGGGGAAGAGAAAAATGAATGCTTGGGAGGAAAACGCTCACGAATCTGGGATCTGGGGCGTGGAAGCAGAGAGCCTACCTCCTGCTTTCCTCCTCCTGCAGAGGCGACACTTGAGTTGACTCAAAAAAACGACTTTTGACTTTTGAGTCGACTCAAGAGGGGAACGCTCACGAATCCGAAATCTGAGGGGGCATGGAAGCAGAGAGCATACCTCCTGCTTTCCTCCTCATGGAGACCAGTTGTTCCTGCCGCCTCCTCTCCTGAAACTGCGCCCCCTTCCTGTGCTAGCGCCTGCTCTGCTGCTCTCGGCTCGGAATAAAACCCCCGTGCTGCGTACTCCTCCTGTGCTCCTTGCTCTTGCATTGCTTGCTCAGCCGCTCCCTGCTCTTGCGCTGCGGATTGCAGCCCTTCCAATTCTGACTGCATCACTGGAACTGGAGCAGGGATTGGGAACACCTCCTCTTCTAGAACCACGCCGTTCGGGTAAATGGGATTGGAGGCACTGGTCTCCCACCCTGTGCTGCCCCCATCCCTCTGCTCCCCCTCTTCGTATCCGTTTGAGCCCTGCTGCTGCCCCTCATACCCCTGCTGCTGCTGCTCTTGCTGGTGCTGCTCCTGCTGTTGCTGCTGCAGCAGCTCCTGCTGCTGTTGCTGCTGCTCGTCCCACCCCAACTGCACCTGTTGCTGCTGCTGCTGCTGCTCCTTCTGCTGCTCCTCCCACTGTTGCTGCTCCCTCTGCTGCTGATCCCACTGCTGCTGCTCCCTCTGCTGCTCCCTCTGCTGCTCCCTCTGCTGCTCCCTCTGCTGCTCCTCCAACTGATACTCGCGACTCCATGCAAACATCCCACCATCCTCACCATCCTCCCCTCCTTCTCCCTGTTCCTCCCACTGCTGCTGCCCCTGAAGCTGCTGCTGCTCCTGTGACTGCTCCCCCTGCTGATGCTGCTCCTGCCGCTCCTGCCATTCCTGCTGCTGCTCCTGTTGCTCCTGCTGTTCCTGCTGCATCTGCTGCTGCTGCTCCTGTCGCTCCTGCTGTTCCTGCTGCAGTAGTTGCTGCTGCTGTTGCTGCTGCTCTTTCTGAAGCTGCAGCTGCAGCTGCTGCCGCGCCTGCCTCTCCCTCTCCGCGTCCTGAATCTGCTCCCTAAGGCTCTGCGCCTGCTGCTCCAACTGCTCTAACTGCGCCTCTGCCTGCTCCCTTGAACCAAACCGAAACACCACCGTGTCCTCCTCGTGCTCTGCTTCAGGGATGGAGAAGTGGGGGGGGGGAGGAGGGACGGGAGAGGAGGCGAGGGAGGGGGAGAAGAAGAGAAAGAAAGGGCATGTCGTGAAGTGAGCGAAGAATGGAAATGGTAGGAGATGGCATCAGAGGCAGGAGGAATTAAGCTGGGGGCGAAGTTTAGGGAGAGGACGAGGAGGGGCAGAGAGAGAGCGGGATAGACAGGGGCGGCCAGCATAACAATGGGGAAATAAAGAAGCACCCCCCTTGCAGAGAGAGGGAACATACCATGGACGTCAAGAAGCACCCACGCAGCTTCCTGCTCGCCCTCCTCTTCGTCACTGTAATCCAAGAAACCCACGCCCATCACCCCCACAGTCTGTTCACTGCCCCCCTGCTCTCCCCCAGGAACACCCTGGAACCGTTCTTGAGGCGCCTCAAAGACAACCTCCATGCCCATCACCTCCACCGCCTGCTCCATAGCCTCATGCTCGGACGCCTGTACCCTTTCCTGCTGCTGCTGCTGTTCTTGCTGCTCTTGCTGCTGCTGCTGCTGCTGCTGCTGCTGCTGCTGCTGCTGCTGCTGCTGCTGCTGCTGCTGCTGCTGCTGCTGCTGCTGCTGCTGCTGCTGCTGCTGCTGCTGCTGCTGCTGCTGCTGCTGCGAATGCTGCTGCTGCTGCTCGTGCTGCGGTTGCAATTGCTCTTGTTGATTCCACGCCTGTTGCTCATCTTGCCCCCAACCCCCAGCCTGTGGCTGTTGCTGCTGAGAAGAGTACTCTGCCTGATGCTGCTGCTGTTGCTGTTCTTCTTGTTGCTGCTGCTGCAGCTGCTGTTGTTGCTGTTGCTCAGATATTTGCTGTTCCTGCTGCTGCTGCTGTTGTAGCAGCTGTTGCTGCTGCTGGGCCCAGTGTGCTTGCTGCTCCTGCCATTGCTGTTGCTCAAATCTTAGCTGTTCCTGCTGCACTTGCTGCTGCTCTTGATGATACTGCCCTTGCTGTCGGTAATCTGCCTGTGTTTGTTGCTCTTGCCAGTGCTGCTCCTCGGATTGATGCCCTTGCTCCCACTGTTGCTGCTGCTGCTGTTGCTGCTGCCCCTGCTCCTGCTCCTGCCACTGTTGCTCCTCGGATTGTTGCTCCTGCCACTGCTCTACCTGTGCTTTTTGCTCTTGGTCCAATTTCGCCTGCTCCTCCTGCTGCTGCTGCTGTTGCTCCTCCTCCCGCTGCTGCTGCTCCTCCTGCCGCCTCTGTTCATCCAGATGTTCAGCCTGTGCTTGTTCTTCTTGCCAGGCCATTGCTTGCCCTTGACCCAATTTCTCCTGCTCCTCCCGCCGTTGCTGCTCCTCCTGCTGCTCTTCGTGCCACTGCTGCTGTTCCCGCTCCTGCAGCTCGGCTTGCTGCCGCTGCTCTGCCCACTGTTCTGCCTGCGCTTGTTGCTCTCGCCATTGCATTTCCTGCTGCAATTCAAACTGTTGCTGTTCTTGCTGTTGTTGCTGCTGCCACTCCAACTCTTGCTGTTGCTGCTCCAGTTGTTGTTGTTGCTGCTCCAACTGTTGTTGTTGCTGCTGCCAGAACTGTTGCTGTTGCTCCAACTGTTGCTGCTGCTCCAACTGCTGCTGCTGATATCCCAACGCCAAGCCCTCTCCTACAGTTTCTGCGCCAGAACCGTGAGAAACCGCTGCATCAGCTTGAGAATCAGCCTCGGCTGACTCCGCACAGAGGTGATGAGGGGTTCTATGCGGTGACTCTATCGCTTCGGCTGGTGACGTTGCTGCTTCTTCTGTCGCTGGTATTGCTTCTGCTCGTACTGCTGCTGCTGCTTCTGATGCTGAAACTGCTGCTGCTGCTGCTGGTACTGATGTTGCTGCTGCTGCTGCTGCGTCTATCACTGCAGCAGCACTTGCGGAACTCGCGATTGGCTGTCCAATATACTGCGCGGCTTGTCCTGCGGGTACACGCTCTGCTGATTCCAAAGTTGCTGCTTCAACTCCATCTACTTCCGCCCCGTGATTTCCCCCATCCGCGCCGTGACTTCCCCCATCCACCCGCGCCTCCGCGCCCTCAAGGCTCCGCCCCAAATTCCCCCATTCCGCGGGTACGTCGGAGCCCGCGCGGTTTTCTTCGAGATTGCCCCATTCCGAGCGCCTTTCCGCTTCCGAACCCCCCTGCGAGAGCCCCTCGACGTTTTCCGCATCGGAAGATCCAGTGATTGGGCCCACGTAGGCCCTTGCGCGGACATGCCCGCGGACACTTGCGCGGGCATTTGCGCCAGCACTTCCGCAGTCAATCGCGCGACCGGTTGCGCGGACATGTGAACAGACACGCCCTTGCAAGCTACTTGTTGAGGTCTGGGAAAGGAAGGTTGGAGAAAGAGGAAGGGAGAAGAATGAGAGTAGAAAAGAGAGGGACGCGAAAGGCAACGCAAGGGAGAAAGAGAACGGATGCAGGGTTATTGAACAAATAAACTTAAAGCATGCAATACAGGGCAGGGTACAACTGTCACGATTACTTCTTTTACTGCAATAAAGCCGCTTACCGATTTGAGCTTTCCAGGAGCCCTCGAAGTCGTTTGTGCGAAACAGCTGCTGGAGTTTAATCTGCGAATCGGGAACTGACACGTCACGCCATCCGTCGCACCCCTGGGAATGCGACGGCGAATGAGCGAAGGGGGCTGGAGGACGAGGGAGGCGATCCCAGCTGATGGCTTCGTAACGGAATACGGAGTCACTAAAAACGAGGATGATATTTCGTAAAGCCGACACGCAACAGACTTAGGAAATGGCTTTAACGCTAATCCTGAAAAAGACTTGCCGTATGGCGAAGGGAAAGTCGAGGGTAGCTTTATCTGCGTGGATCGGGATAAGAAACGAGACGGTGTGGAGCCGGAAACGAGAGGCGACGAGGAACTAGACGAAGCGTACATGACGGAAGATCCGGAAAGCTGAGGTTCGCTTCTAATCGCCGGTGATACGGGACACACGGAGGCAGAAAAGGATGCGGACATGGTGTTGCTCCGTGTCTTTCTTTAGCTGCTTCTTGCTGATGTTGTTGCTGTCCGCGTGATTCGTAGCTGCTGGGACGACAGAACAAGAGCTTTTATATGCAAGCCCTAAACAAGACGTAAGTGTCTACTGGGAAAGCATAGCGCTTAATTTTAGGGCTTCATTTTCTCTTTACATGAAGCCCCTGCCTAAATGGGTTCTCATAAGCGCTTAAACTGGAACGCGTCGCATCGGTGACAATGATGTTGCAAAGCTCTTCGCCAATCCCGCTAAGCCAATCATGATAAGCGGTAACTACGGAGGGACAATCAGAGAGAGAGATGTGGAATACAAACACAAACCAGATCGTAAGCGGAGAAAGAAATCAAGCACTGCAAGAGAACCAGCCTTCTAGAAATCAGGTCCGCAGAGAAGTGTCAGGAAGTGACCACCATAACCAAACCACTTCGACCGCCGTGGATGAGGCATGAATGGGTCCAGACTCTAGGATGCAGCATGTATGGGTCCAGGTTAGGGAGTGCCATAACTCGTGAACAGTTCATGAATCAGAGCTCAGAAAGGTGAGTAATGGTTCGAAACGGTGAAAGAGACAATGACCGCTGTAAATCGCACAGCAGCGTTACTGTATCCAATTTCACCGAGCGTTACTTGTGACATTCCCTGAGGTTCGTTCGGGTCGGGGTTCGGCGGAGAAATGGGCAGTCAATGGACGGCTGATGGCGGAAACTGGTTGTGGTGTTCAACGCAGGAGCGCGCCGGGCGGGGGAATGGGCGAGAAAGTCTCCGCTGCACCGCCGACCATGCCCGTAATCTGTAGGCGCGGAAAAGTAGCGGCGGGAGGGGAGTTCGGGGAATGGGGGGAAGGGGGGGCTAGGCTGGGGGAAGAATCTTCGCGGATGTATTTGAATCACGGCGCGGGAGAGTCTGTGGTTCCCTGGCATGCGAAATGTCAAGGCCAATCAGGATGGAGGAATTTGCTGGCCTTGAAAACAACGAGGTTGCAGCCGAATTTTCAAGGTTGGGTGCGATTAGCGAAAACGTGACTTCCAGCGACCAACTTCACAGTTCTTGTTCGGAATATAAACTTAGTCTCTTATACAACTGACAGTTGTATGTTATCAGCTAAAACAAAGGAAGCTTTGGCTTCCGCAAGCAATAATGTACAACATGCACGCCAAACCTCAACCGACGAGTTAGAGTTAAAAAAACACACAAAGCTAACGAAAATGGAAATTAGGAAAGCGCCTAGTTAGGTTGAACTTAGACAAAGGAGGCTGCTGCAAATTCATTTGCTAGCACTGCAACAACCAAAGGAGGCAAACACAATCCACACATGTGCAAAACATTCATCAGGGAGAAACGGAGGACAAGGTTGATGTGACTAACAAGACTCACATGCAGAAGAATTTCAAACGAAACAAGCATGCAAAACGCATGCGAAAGGGTGTGCTACTCATACAGCATAGCATGTGATACGACACACCAAAATCACATCGGCTCAAACACATCAAATAAAATCCTTACCAGGATCCACAGCCTCCTTGGGCCGCCCGCTGATGTCCACCTTGCAGAGCGGACAGCTGGCGTTGATCCGCAGCCACGTGTCGACACAGGATTGGTGAAAGTGGTGGTTGCAGGGAAGCTGCCTCAGCTCCGCCCCATCCTTGTAGTGCCCCAAGCAGATGCAGCACACCTGGTAACCATGTAACAGGCGTAAGGAAGTGGGAGGAGGGGCGGGGGGGAGGGGAGAGGGGGGGTGGGGACGTGGGAGAGTGGGGCAGGGGGGAGGGAGAGGGGGGTGAGGGGATGACCAACTTGCCTCAAAACGTCCCTCCTGTGCACCATTTTCTCCTTCTCCCTTCCCGCCCACTGCAGCCCCCCACCCCAGCTCGAGAACAACAAAAACTACCACGGTCAGACCACTCCCAACAAGACAGAGCAGAAGCAGAGGCATAGCAGAAACAGGGGAAGGGAGGAGGGAGGAGGAAGGTGGTGGGGGGGTGGGAAACGGGGGTGCGGGTGGGAAGAGGAAGGCGGGTTGGGAAATGAGTTGACTCACCGCATCCTCCCCTTGCACTACCCGCTCCTTGTCCATACCCGCCCACAGCAGCCCAACCTCACCTCATGAGAACAACAACTACCAGTCTGGGGGGCAAACGGGGGGAGAGGAGCAACTCACCGCATCCTCCCCTTGCACTATCCGCTCCTTGTCCGTACCCGCCCACAGCAGCCCCACCTCCTCCGACGAGGAGTCACTATCCGACTCCTCCCCCCCACCCACACCACTGCTGCAAATGACCTCACTGCTCCCGCTCCTGCTCCTGCTGCTGCTGCTGCTGGCACTGCTGTAGGCTCTAGCACTCAGCGTGCTCTCCTCTTCTTGACTTCCCACTGACATCAGGCCGTGATCAGCTGTCTTTCTGGTTGCCAGTGCTTGCTGCGATCGCCTCCGGTTCCTCCTCAGGCTTGGGGAGCTGCTGCTGCTGCTGCTGCTGGTGCTGCTGGCACTGCTGCTGCTACTGCTGCTTGTGGTTGTACCACTGCTGCTCCTGCTGCTGCTGGAACTGCTGCTACTAGCAGGGCTTAGTTCAGGTGTTTTCATCCCCTCTCTACCACCATCACAACCTTCACCACCACAATCGCCACCACCATCGCCATCACATCTGCTCTCACCACTCCCCTTGCTGCTTCCCTTCCCAACCCCACCACTCCCCCCCTTCCTCCTCCGCTTCAGCTCCTTATACTTAAAGCACGGCAGCGAGGCGATCTCATCGGGAGCAGCACCCTTGGAGGCCGGGGAAATGGAGGCGATATCGTTATCGAAGCCCATGAGCGTGATGATGCAGGGCAGGCAGCAGCAGATGGTGGCGCAGAGGAGGAAGGGCATGGCGTAGCTCACACAGCTCAATGTTAAAAACACCACGCTCAGACTGGCGGGGGAGGGGGGGTAGGGGGGGGGGGGGGAGGGGGCAGTATGGGGAATTGAGGGGGGAAAGAGTGGAGCAGCAGAGGAGGAAGGGCATGGCGTAGCTGAGGGTCAGAAACACCACGCTCAGACTGGCGGGGGAGGGGGCGGGGGAGGGGTTGTGACAATTCTGTGGCCTCCTGGAAGGCTGATGTGGAATCTGGTTTCGTTTCTCACATAAAAAGGGCCAAGGGACTTATACAGTGTCGGGGCGGCCTGGGAAGCAGAGCTGACACCAAAGACCTACAAACCAAACAGCAAAGAAGGTCATTCACGCGTCTTGTTTCTCGCTAGTAGCACGTTCGACACAGTCACTCACTTGTACAGTAATGGGGCGGCCTGGGCGGCGGAGTTGGCGCCAAATACCCAGATATTGCCGAGCACAAATCCGACAGCAGAAACACAAATCCAGCTTGTTTCTCATTAATCGCACGTTCGACAGTCACTCACTTGTACAGTAATGGGGCGGCCTGGGCGGCAGAGTTGGCGCCAAAGACCCAGATATTGCCGAGCACAAACCAGACTGCAAAGAAGCAGTCGACTGAGACCTTGTATCTCTCCACCATCACCACGAGCCTGGGGTTTAGAAGGTGAGGGGGGGAAGGGAGGTGGGAGTGACGAAGTGTATGGAACATGAAGCAGTCGACTGCGACCTTGTATCTCTCCACCATCACCACGAGCCTGGGGTTTAGGGAGGGAGAGGGAGAGAGAAGAGAGGAATGGTAGTGTGTGAGCTCCAGGGCTGACTGAACTGCAAACAAGCAGTCGACTGAGAGCTTGTATCTCTCCACCATCACCACGAGCCTGGAAAGGGGAGGGGGGGGGGAGGGGGAGGGAGATGCGGAAGGGGAAGAGGGAAGGAGGAAGCATACGGGGCTGACTGAGTGAGGAGCAGTCGACTGAGACCTTGTATCGCTCCACCATCACCACTAGCCTGGGAATTGGAAGAGAGGAAGGGGGGGGGGGGGGGGGAGGGGGAGATGAGGGAAGAAGGGATTCAGAGGGGAAGCGAGGGACGGGAGAGGGACGGAGGGAGTGTACAAGGCTGTATGAGGGAGGTTGGGTGAAAGGGAGAACGGATTGGGAGGGGGAGGGATGGGAGACGGGGAGAAAACACCTGAAAAGGCACCTGAATAAACACCTGCAAACAGAAACCCACCTGGATTCATCTCGCCAGTCATCAGCGACCTCATTCAAGAACCCCCACATGCACCCCCACCAACCCCTCCCCTCCTCCCCCCAATTCCGCTGCGCCATCTCCCCCGCTGCCACTGCCCTTTCCGCCACATAGCTCTCCCAGAACCGCGCGCCCTCGTCACTCCCCCGCGCGCCCCCCCCATTCGCCCCTACGCAGTGCGCATTTCCCCCAGCGCCCACCGCCCTCCCCCACGTGCCCTCCGCGCTTCCCGTTGCCCCCCCGCCAACTACGCTGGTCGCCAGGGCCTCTCTCTCCCCCACTATTAGCTGCCCCGTTACAAGCTGTCCCGCTGCAGCCTGCCCTGCTACAGCCTGTCTCGCTACAAACTGCCCCGCTACAGCCTCCTCTGCTGCAACGGGCGGTTGCAGCGCCTCTGCTGACGCATGCGTGGCGGGATGCGGACAAGAGCATGCGAGCTCAAGCAGCGGCGACTGAGCCGAGACACGTGGCGCTATGCTATTGGTTGATCCTTGTGGCGCGTGCGACGGGGGTGGTGGGGGGAAATCATTATGCTGCTGCTCCCGCTGCTGCTGCTGCTGCTGCTGCTGTTGTTCTTGACGCTGCTGTTGCAGCTGCTGCTGCCGCTGTTGCTGCTCCTGATGCTGCAGCAGCTGCAAGCGCGACAGCATTTCAAAGCGCTGCCTAAACTCTTCTTCCCGTTGCCGCTGCTCCGCCGACCCACTCTGCAGCGATTGCTGACCGTACATCTGACGGATCGGAGGGTTCACGTAAGCCTCAGCGCTCTGCGAGTGATGTCGGGTGTATCTATGCGTGTATCTCCAATACAACAGTGGCAGTAACAGGACGCACCCTAACGCGTATCCCAGCACCCACGCTCGCAGTGGTACAAGCGGCTTTTCATCCATCGACGCGAAAACAATAAACGCCGTCGCGATAATCTGACCCAGGAGAAAGACAAACTCTGCCGCCACCCACAGACCCGAGTTGAGCGGGCTCGTGCGAACGCGCCGGCCGGCAAATCTGGAGCGGCCGGAAGCCTGGACGTTAGGTCTTGACGGCCGGCGCGGCAGCTGCTCTCCCCAGTCACCCAGCGTTGATGCTCCCAACCCCTGCTGCTGCTGCGGCTGTTGCAGGTGATGCGGCTGCTGCAGGTGATACGGATGACGCGGGTGATACGGTAAATGCGGATACTCCTCCCTCTGCGGATAACGCTCCACCTGCTGCTGTTGTAAACCTTGAGAAATAAGTAATGCCTCATCCTCTTCCGCTCCCCTCTCCTCTCCGCCTTCCCCCGTCCAGAATCCATTCACTGCCCTTTCCAAAAAGTCTCTTCTAGCCCCCCAGCCCTCTCTGCTCCCCGCGACCCTCGCCGCTGGCGCGCGCCAGCGCTCTCCGCTCCCCGCAACCCCCCCGAGAGGGGAAGTGCGCGACGGAAGAGCGCCAAGCTCAGCTCCCCGTTCCCCTTCCGCGGACTGCGAGTCCAGCGCGAACGCAGGGGGAATGGCGGAAGAAACGGCGGACTCCGCGGAAGCGAGAAGTTGCGCAAACCCGCCCTCGCCATCCACGTCCAGGCGCACGGGTGGCGGAGAGGCGAAAGGGCGGAGAAACACGCGGAAATCCGCTTGCGCCTCCGCCTGCGCGGAAGTCTGTTGCGCTGGTCCTTTTGCGCCTCCGCCAGCCGCGGAAAGCTGCTGTGCGTCGTGAGTCCGCGGTTGATTGCGCGGCTCTTCCGCTGCGGTCAAGCCCGAAGCGCCATGCAATGAAGAGTTACATGAACAAGCCGCGTCGGCATTTGAAACAAGCTCCTGCAGAGGCGACGCTACTGTTGCCGGAGGAAGCGGCGGGAGCGGCGAGGCGACATCGGGCTCAGATGTCAACCCCAGGGTTTTCTTCAACGGCGAGTTGGCGGCGATTTGGATGAGATGGTCCGACGCGCAGCACGGCCATGGCGGCGTCGACATTGGCTGCGATTCGCCGGCGCTGGAAGAAACGGCGTCGAGCGTTTGGGATGATTCAAATTGGCCGTCGAGGTGGGAAGCTGGACGCGAGGAGCTGGACATGTCTGGTTGGTGAGGATTGCCCGCGGAGCCCATACTGCGGAACGGAGGGAATGCACCCGTGTTTCAAAAAATATATATACTAACTCAGCACTGGCGAGTTGTGCCGTGGGATCAAACGAACTAATGAGAGATGAGAGACAATGCTACGATATATCATACACGAATGGATTATTGCGCTACAGGACAAAAGATGGTAACAGCTGCGATTATCCAACGAGGAGGAGATAAGACCGACCGGAATTTACAACATGTGTTTTAGAAGGGACCGGCAGCCTGCCCCTAACTCACGGCTCGCGCGGTGCGTAGTGAGCGAGGAAGCAGGAGCGTAGTAGCTAAAATATCGTTTGGACTTCCATGAAGCACGACAAATTATTACATTCGCTGCATTCTATGGCGTTTATCGTTGGGCTGGAAGGGAAGAACGACCCTGGGCTTTTCTTTGCACTTCGGGCTTCTCTTGCACCTTGGAGTTACTCGTGTACATGGCAAATACCTAGGCTGTCGGGTTTCCAAACCAGACCTTGGCCTTACCAGACCAGAGCTGGTTCGGAAGAGCGAGCCTGGACTCTGCCTCAAGCACCTCTGGAGATTGCAAATTCCTAGGCTTCTCAAACCAGACATTGGAGTTACCAAACCGTCAGCTTTTCAGACCAGACCTTGGCTTTGCAAGAACACCTGACCCCGGTCAGGCAATCACGTGAGTCTCCCCAGGCAATTCGACCTTTGTCTCGAGGCTGCCTAGCATGCCATGTCTGCGTCGGTGGTTGTTCATCCAGGTTCAAACCCAACGCAAAGTCGGTATTGAGAGATTTCGGACGGTCATATAAGGTGAATTAAGGTGCGGGCGCCCTTTTCATAGCTGAGCGAAGTGCTGGTTCGGCCAAAGGAGAAAAACCCAGGGTGCGCAAGAGGCTTGGCTTGGGTGTCGACGGGCGGATTGTTGGGAGAGGAAGGTTTCGAGCGAGCTGTTATGGGTTTCAGGTGGCGACTGTTATACCGTGTGCGACAATCTAATGACGTGGACCTTGCGGCTGCTGATGGAAATAACATTTTTTTTATCGTGGCGACGCGACTGTGTTGCTGTCTGTCTGGTACTTCACCTGCGTCGCTGGGTCCTTGACGACAAGAACAGTGCGACGAAGCCGACCATTACTGTCGCACCGGAGAAGCAATCATTCATAACGAAGCTGTACAGGTTCAGAAGCAGGTGAGAGTTTGTTCGCAAAGCGTTGTTACCACATGGCAAGCCACAGATTTACAGTCAGCAATGAAATTCGACTGGGTACAACTTACGACTAGCGAATCGCGAGGTTCCAAGGCAGCGGCGCGCTGCTTTGATGCACCACGGCTCGACTGGTTGTGTACACCCTGTTTCGCGCCACACTGACATTCGCCATATTGACAAGCCGGTTGTACTGACATCAATGCGTCCAAATTGGTCCCAGAACATACCGTATAAGCACTTTTGCCGCACGAAACCGAACTTAAATGCACGTTTGTTTTCATAAACCGTTGTCTACCGTTCTCGTGAAGTGCATTTCGGTTGCAAGTACCAGCCCGCTGAATCCAAGCACACGTGCGCACTGTAGCCGGGGCTCCCGATTGTTCAAACACCGAGAAACAGGGTGTAGAAGCAAAAATCAGGGCTGGAGAGAGGATTCGTCGTGACTGTACAGCACGGCCCTGCCACATGTACAGTAGTCCTTTCCATCGACCATCTCGACACGTTATCAGCTATTGCAGATTTCATATCGTAATGTGGATTTCCAACTAGTTGGATGAACAAATGGACATAAATTATCAAAATGCATGTCTATGATGATGGCCATCACATTCAAGAGCTGTTACATGCCTACGCTAAGGCTGCCACTTTACTCATAGAGGCTATCTATCAGATTGACTGGGAGGAGTATCATTGTTGTGGAATATACTACGATAATACTGGTACATGTTGCCCAAATCCAGCGTGCAGCAACACTGGAGCCTTCTTTGCTCTGCTTGATGGATACTACCAGTAAACGGTGCTTTATACATGGGAAAGAATGGTATTTGTTCGAGGTATAAGCTTCATACATGGGCAAATATCCATACATATGCCGCGTGTATTAATACAGATGCATACAGTTGTGTACCAGGTTGTTGGAAATAAGAAGTCGCTAGAGCGCAGCGGAAGCTCTAGGAATTAACGACGTCCCTACGGCGGGGCTATTGGTCACTCAGAGGTAGCTCTCCTGGCTTGTAACGTGGTGCCAAAGCAGCGGCCGAGGGTAGGCCGGACACAAGCTTGAGAATTGTGTAATATGAGCAAGACATTACATTCTGTTATATAGCAAACGCATAGGGCAAACAGTTACCAAGGCGCAACTGTATAACAGTTGCGCTACGTCGCTTGGGTTGCCTTGTTACAGTCGCGCTGGCGAGACTTTTCAGCTTCGGCAAGGGCGCGGTATCCTGCCGCGCCCCACAGGTCAGTTTCGCGTACTGTAGACGATGACTCCTGCTGTCGATTCGACTCTTGAGCTGCCACGCGGGTCACAACCGCTGTGTTCGGTTGCGGCCCGTTGACTCGCCACCAGGTTCAAATCCCTCGCTGTGGCGAGCCCCTGTAAGCACACTTCGAACAGTGCACTTATAATAAAAGCATACAAACATATTCTCAACACAGGTGAACCTCACTCAACACTTTTTGAGGCGCCAAGAAACTCAATACAGTACTACCATAGCATTTCTGTACAAGGACCTACAAGCGTGAGCGCCACACAGAGGGTCAAACCAGGTCAATTACTATCTTCCATTCCCACCCATTCTCACCCATTCGAACCACCTCTCACTGGGCCAAGAGAGCTGTTATTTCTCCTCCCGTCCGCCTCTTCCCCATCAACCACCACCACCACCACCTCCCCATCTTGCTGCTGCCCCCCTTCCTGCCCCCCCTCCTGCCAGTGCTCCTCCCCCTGCCACTGCTCTCGCCACAAGGGTACTTGCTCCTCTCCCCTTTCATCCTCTTCTTCTGCGAAGAGTTGTTCCTGCTGCTGCTGTTGTTGTTGCTGCTCATGCTGATGTTGTTGTTGCTGCTCCTGCTGCTGCTCGTGCTGCTGCTGTTGTTGCTGTGACCCCTGGTCCCCTGTGCCCATCTCCCCTGCATGTACCTCCCCTGCATTCATCTCCCCTGTTCCCACCTCCCCACTATCCGCCTCCCCTGCATCCACCTCCCCTCTTCCCAACTCCCCTGCAGCATCCACCTCCCCTCTTCCCACCTCACCTGCATCTACCTCCCCTCCTCCCACCTCCCCTGCATCTGCCTCCCCTGCACCCCCGTCCCCTACATCTACCACTCCTCCTCCCACCTCCCCTGCTCCCACCTCCCCTGCTCCCACCTCCCCTGCTCCCACCTCCCCCGATTCAAGCACAAAGGCTGCTCCCTTGCACACGGGGCACACGGGGTGCTTGAAGATCCAGTTCACTATACACTCGGAGTGATACGCTGGAGACACGGGAAGAGGGGGGAGAGGGGGAAGAGGGGGGAGAGGGGGGAGAGGGGGGAGAGGGGGGAGGCGGGGGAGATGTGGTGGAAACGCGGGCAGAAATGGGGGAGACGAAACACTCTTGCTTCTGCTCTGCTCCGTTGCACACGGGGCACTCGGGGTGCTTGACAATCCAGTTAACTATACACTCCGAGTGATATGCTGGGGATAGGAGGAGAACGGAGTGGATGGAACGGGGCAAGGAGGGCAGAAGGAGGGAAGGAGGAACACTCGAGCTTCTGCTCCCTTGCACACGGGACACACGGGGAGCCTCACGATTCATTTCACTATGCATTCCGAGTGATATGCTGGAGAGATAGGGGGATGACGGAGTGGATGGAACGAGGCAAGGAGGGGAGAAGGAAGAAGCTCCTCCCTTGCAGACTGGACACACGGGGGCACACGGGGGCACATGGGGACACACGGGGTGCTTGAAAATCCAATTTACTTTGCATCTCGAATAAAATGCCTAGAGTCGACTCAAAACTCGAGCATTCATTCACTATGCACTCCGTGGAGACTTTTGAGTCGACTCAAAAGTCACCTCGAGCATTCATTCACTATGCATTCCGCGGAGGAAAAAGGAAAGAAGGGCAGAAGGAAGGGAGAAGCCATTCGCGCTTCCGGCTCCCTTGTCGAGATCATAGAGGAAGATGGGACAGTGCTGTGATCACGGGGGCACACGTGCTGTGAATTGGAGTTTCCGCTGTGATCACAGAGGGAGATGGGAGAGTTGAAGGTCAAAGATAGAAGAAATTCGAGGAGACAGAAGGTGGTGAGCTGAAACAGGAACCTACAGAGGGAGCACGGAAGGAAGCACACGCTTTGCCCTTTGTCAAAGTCACAGAGGCAGATGGGACAGAAAAACTCCTCCTCCCCTCTCTCCTGCGCCTCTGCTGCTGCTGCCGCAGCCGCCTCTGCAGCAGCAGCCAATCGTAGCATGCCAGGTGTCGCTGTCAATGCTGCTGCTCCCGCTGCTGCTTCCCCTGCTGTCTCCCCTGCTGTTTCCCCTCCTGAACCCCCTGCTACTCCCTCTATAAGCACCCCCTCCTCTCCTGCCTTCTCTCCTCCCTCCTCCGCCCCTTGCTTGCCTCCCCAACCAAAATCCCCTTTCTCCTCCCCGCCTGTTTTCGCTCCCCTTTGCCCTTCCTTCGCCTTCTCACCTTTCCCTCTCCCCCAAACCACGTGCACAGGCAGCAAATAAGAACCAGCAGAATGAGAAACGCTCGCTCTGCTTCCTCCTGACCTACTACCCCCAGCAGACGCAAGAGAGGCTGACAGAGCAGCAGCAGCCGTGGGAGACAGCAACTCGAGCGGTCGGCGCGCGTTGTCTGCTAGTAAACCGCTGCCGGCCTGCCCCCTGGAAACACTGTTCATCTGCTGCTGCTGATGCAAAAGCTGCTGCCACAGCTGCTGCTGCTCCCGTTCCTGCTGCTGCCTCCCCGGTTGATGCTCCTGCTCCTGCTGCTCTCGCCTCTGCTGCTGCCCTTGCTGTTGACCCTGCGGCCCCCCCTGCAAAAACTGCTCCTCTAGTTCCTGCCAACGCTCCCGCCAAGGCATCACCTGCTGCTGCTGCTGCTGCTGCTGCGTTTCCAAACCCTCCTGCGCTCCTCTCCCCTGCTCCCGCGCCCGCTCCTCCTGAAGCCGCCTCATCGACTCGAGCAGAGAACTGCCTCTTGCCGAGCCTATCCCCAAGGCTCGGCGGCGGCGGCGGCGCCTAGCTGCGGCAATGCTACAGATGGCACAGACTATGCAGACGACTGCGCACGGCCACATGACGATACAGAGGGTGATTGCAACTGAGAAGGCGATGCACGTGGTGCTGCAGTCGCCTAAAGTCGTGCTGTTGCCCTCGTTGCTGCTGCTGCTGCTGCCGCCGCCGCCGCCGCCGCCGCTGCTGCTGCTGCTGCTGCTGTTGCTGCTGCTGCCTGTGCTGTTTGTGCTGTTGGTACTGGCAGTGCTGTTGTTTCTGTTGCTCCTGCCAGTGCGGCCGTTGTTCTTCTTGTTGCTGCTGCTGCTGCCGTTTCTGCTGCTGCTGCTGCCGGTGCTGCTGTTGTTCCTTATATTATCAATAGTGGTGGTGGTGGTGGTGTTGGTGCCACTGCTCCCACTGCTGCTCCCACTACTGCTACCATTCCCGTTGCCATCCCCGTTACTATTCGATGCATTGCTGCTATTGCTTCCACTTTCTAAGAACCCGGAGTCAGACAGTAAGCGCCCGAACCTAACGGCCTGGTTCGGCCCGAGCCTGGGCGTCAGATGCCACGACCGAAGCTTTCTCCTAGGGTCGGCAGGCACCGAAGCTGCGGATGCAAGGAGGGATGGAAACAAAAACGAAGGGCTCAACCAATAGAAACGAGGCCGAAGGGCGCTGGCACTCGTTAGCGGTGATAGCGAAGCAGCTTGTATCGAGTACGCTGCCCGGCTGATTGTCAACTCGTCTGTGCTTGTATCGGCGTGGCTTATATAGGGGATGCCTTGCGAGTTTGGAGGTCCCTTCCCGGAAATCGCTGCTAGGAGGAGGAGAGGAATGAGAATATTGCAGCTGCGAAGGCGGTTATGATATACGCGATGGAATCGGATAAACGAGGTTGACTGAAACGAGTACAACCCCGCGGCGCTGCCCCCTCGTTCCGCTTTAGAAAGCCTGGTGCTTGCGCTGCTGCTATTCTCCCGAGGCGCCTCGAAAGTAGTCACGCTGCTGGCGCTGCTGTCGCAACTGCTGTTCCGTCGTTCCATTCTAGAAAGGCCGGTGCTTGCGCTGCTGCCATTCCTGGTAAGATTCCCTCTCCGCCTCGCTCTATCTAAGCATATTATAACCATAACTTTCCGAGAAAGAGAAACAAATAAAGATATTTCTATAACGCGTACACGCGTTTTCTCAGGTGCCGACGTGTCCGTCCGGTTGCCTATAACGGGAAAACACGTTTGGCCGACCGTGAACATATGCCGCTATACTCGCGCTTCTGTCGCTTCTGTCGCTACTGCCGCTGCTGCCACTGCAGAAACCTACTGCCGGTTCTCGCGCTACACTATACCACTATCCCAGACGCTGCTGCGAACACATCACATCAAAGCTCCGCCTCTCAATACCGTGTGCTCCTATTATATCTCAAGAATGACGGTGTTGTGCAAATCTCTGCACTGATTCTTGGTTTGGAATGGTGACAGACTCGGTTCTAGATTAGTACCGTTTTCGATTGTGTTGAACCGTTTCGAACCGTGATACATGAATCGAAATGAAGACGATGCAGCGCGGAATTTGGGTGCGCTGTCGCATCATGCTGCTGCTTTGCAGGAGACAAACTGTACCCGTAAAGAGAACGCGATAACTGTTCTGGTGCAGCTACAATATTTTTCAGAAAAACACGCACACGCAACTGAACATGTGCAAGAACTTATCAATCTCCTACATGCAGCAATCGGGAAATACACACCAACAGGCAGTACCTAACTAGCAAGGCACATAAAATAAGAGAACCTGATTCTTTAAAACCGGAGGGCCAAGAAGGCCCAAATTGCCTCAACCTTCCTAACCTTGGTTGAGTTTGGCACTCGCACCCAAAACCTTAGCCAATTGTGTTGCTCACTCCAACCAAGCTTCCTAAGGTTGAAGTTCTTGGCCCGCGGGTTTTAAATCAGCATCATCATGTACAATGAACACATGATGGACAACCCGATACTCACTACTGGTACTTGTCCAGCAACGCATCCAGAATAGCTACTGTTTCATTATCCGGCACGCCATCATAAATCCTGGGGCGGAAATGCATCTGAAACGCCGCAATCACGGCCGACGTTTTTTTATCCAGCTCGCCAGTTCAGCAACTTTTCTTGCAGCGTGGCGATCGCCTGTCTCTGCCCGGTGGGGTCGTCAACCGGAAGTATGAAGGGGAAATTGCGCTGATAGAACTGAACGCGGTCGTCATCCGGCCAGGCGCCGATTTGATAGCGCAGGAACAGGTCCCGCCAGGGAAACAAGGGACCGGGATCCGACTTGCGGCCCGGCGCCACGTCGGCATGCCCGACTACATTGATAGGACGGATTTCGTGGCGTCCGATAATATCTTGAACCAGCCGTCCGACCACTTCGATCTGGTCCGGAGGGTAAGGGTACCAGCGACGCTGCATAAGGGGCAGCGACTCATCGGCTTCCGGAAACCCCAGGTTGACCGTTTCAATACCAATCGATCCCGGATTGAGCAAGCGGCTCCCGCGCCAAAAACTTACGCCCGCATGCCAGGCGCGCCGATCCTCATTCACAAGCCTGTACACGTGGAAGTTGCGCTGCCGCTCCGGCGCGTCAGGAATCAAATAGTGGGCGCTGACCTCCTTCTTGGGGTCGGTCAGTGTTTTCAGCGAGTCCGCCAGAGATTGCGCCGTATAGTGCAGCACAAGAAACTGCGCCCGCGAATCCTGATTAGGAGTTTGCACCGTTGTATCGACCGAGTACTTCACGCCCCGTGTGGTACATGCGCTCAAGAATGCAGTCAAAAACAATATATGGCATCGAGTTCTCTGAAAACACTGAAGAGAAAATGGCAAGAGTAAATGCATCTTTGTAGATTCTCGCGGGTAGGGATTTGCTTGTGTTATCTCGCAGTCATCGAGCGCGAAAAGGGTCACAAACGCATCACATCTAGCACCGTGCGTCCTAACTCTCAAGAGGAAAGGTGCTATCCACTCGGCTCTGAATCTTGGATTAGAGTGGTGCTGTGCCGTGCATGTACATTGACCTCTACGGTCCAGTCGGGTTCTTGAGGTTTTAGACTTGGTTCTAGATTTGTACCGTTCTCGATTGTATTGAAACCATTCCGAACCGTGGTACATGAATCGAATGAACACGATGCACCACGGAATTCGGGTGGGCTATTGAATCATGCTCCTACCTTGCAGGAGAAGAACTACCTGTAAAGAGAACGCGATAGCAGTTCTGGTGCAGCTACACTTACATGCACGCTATTCAACATGTCCGAGAAATTATCAATCTTCTACATGCTGCAATCTGACACACTAACTAGCAATGCATATACAGTATGATAAGAGAACTTAATCAATTGACCTTCACAAATCGTCAACATGCACAATGACCACATAATACAATACCAAACTAGAGACGTCAACGATTGTAGTACCGTAGTTTCCTTCCAGCACCCTTTGAACCACAACTCACATTTATAAACTACATGAACATTCATGAGAAGCTATCGACCAACCTATGGCATCACCAACACCACCATGCACAGCCAACATCCTATCCAGTGACAACCACATACCGTACAGCAGCTTTCAACCACCCCAACCACATCCTACCACGAAAATCACTCACATGTCCGCTCATGAGAAGCTATGGACCAACCACCCTATGGCATCGCCATCACCATGCACCGCCAACACTCTACCCAGTGACAACCACATTCGAACAGCATCATCCCTCGTCCACCCTCCATCCTCACACACCCTCCCACAACCACCCTCGTTATTGTCACACTCACTCCCACTAGAACCACCCGACCTTGGAGTTGCCTTGGGAGGGAGAACGGATGTGAGTGTATGAAGCGTGGCTCTATAAGCTAATATAGGAGCTATTTCTGCTGGTGTACCATCCCCTGGTAGCACGATTCGATCAACCCTTGTAGAGGGAGCTCTCATTCTTGTATGCTGCTGACTCATGAAACACTCTGGACTGCTTTCTGTAGGAGTGCTGTCCCCTTTAAGAGCAGCTTCGATAGAAGCAGGCAAGTGGCACCAGTCGTCCTCGTGTGAATGCCCCTCCATGCCACAATAATCCTGGTTCCATCGCCAATGCCCTCCCAATGCATCGGCACCATTGGCAGTGTTGCTAGTGGTGGCAGTGGTGGCAGCATCAGCAGCATTTGGCACCACGGCTTGAGGGTAGTGGCAGACTCGAGCAGAAGGTACTTGAGAGGATTGTACTGCCGCTGATGGGGATAGGATCGCATGGTAGGGGACTGGATCCCGCCAGTCAAGAAAGTCAACGCCAGTCTTCTCCTTGCCCCTGTCAAAGTCAACCTCAGTCTCCAGCCCTAAGGGAAATCTCCGGCAAGTCAAAACCCCATCGATGACGTCAGCATCTGCCAGCCTGGCAGTCAGCTCGGTCAACCGAGTCAACAGAGCCAGCTCCTGCCGAGCCTCGGTCGTAGCCTCGGGATTGGGCCTGTGTGCTGCTAGCCAATCAGAAGGCGGCACCTGGCGCTTGAGCTCCTTCCAGGTGTCTGCTGCGCTGGCAGAGCACACCTCTTCAAATCGCGTGTTGCCATGTGGCAGCAGCTCCTCCAGCAACGGATCTTCATCATCCTCCACGTCATCAGTTAGTAATTCCACCTCATTTGCTTCCACTGCCACCTCATCCGCTTCCACTGCCACCTCATCCGCTTCCACTGCCACCTCATCCGCTTCCACTGCCACCTCATGCATCCCAACTGCCACGTCATCCACCTGCCCTTCCACCTCACCACATTCCTCCAGCCCATTCTCGGCTCCCCCCCTCCTCTCATCGCATTCCTGTTTCTCCTTTTCCAATTCCTCCTCCCTCCCCTTCTCAACCTCCTCTCTGCCCTCATCACCCTCCTCCCTCACCTTCTCACCCTCCTCTCGCCCCCTCTCACAACCACCCTGTGCTTCCCCTTGTCCTTCCCTCCCCACGTCTGCTACAACCGTCTCTGCTACAGCCACACCTGCTGCCGCCCCACTGCCTTTCACTGCCTCACTAGAAGCCTCCTCACGTAACCCTCTTCTAACACTGTCATCTGCTACAGCCTCGTCTGCTACAGCCTCGTCTGCTACAGCCCCCATCGCTACAGCCTCCTCTCCTACACACTCCTTGGCTACAGCCCCCTTTGCTACAGCCCCCTTTGCTACAGCCCCCTCTGCTACAGCCCCCTCTGCTACAGCTCCCTCTGCCGCTGCCGTCTCTGCTATAGCCTGCTCTGCTACAGCCTCCCCTGCTGCAGCCTCCCCTGCTACAGCCTCGTCTGCTACAGCTGCTACAGCCACACCTGCTGCCACCCCACTGCCTTCCGCTGCCTCACTACAAGCCTCCTTACCTAACCCTCCTCTCACTCTGTCCTCCCCTGCTACAGCCTCCTCTGCTACAGCCTCCTCTGCTACAGCCTCCTCTGCTACAGGCTCCGCTGTTGCAACCAAATCTGCAGTTACAGACTTCGCTACAGCCTCCTCTGCTACAGCCGAATTTGCTACAGGCTCCGCTGCTACAGCTTCCTCTGCTACAGCCTCCTCTGCTACAGCCTCCTCTGCTACAGCCAAGTCTGCTGCATCTGCTACAGCCACACCTGCTGCCGCCCCACTGCTTTCCACTGCCTCACTACAAGCCTCCTTATCTCCCACACCTCTCACTCTGTGCGTCTCTGACGCCTCCTCGTTCTCCTCCTCATCATCGGACCTCACAACCGTCCTCTGCTTGTGAGGCACTTCAGGAACCTTGTGCCTTTCAGTCGGCCCAGAACTAGGCCCGCTCACTCCACCTTGTCCTCTGCGAATCTCCTCCCCCTCCTCCTCATCATCTGACCTCACAACCGTCCTCTGCTTGTGAGGCGCTTCAGAATCGGGTAATCCATGCACCCCCACTCCAGCTTCCCCATGTCTTTCTTGACTGTTCCCTTGATCTTTGTGCCTCTCCCCCTCCTCCCCCTCCTCCCCCTCCTCCTCCACCTCCCCCACTTCCTCCTCGTTATCTGACCTCACAAAAACCCTCTGCTTTTGAGGAGCTTCAGGAACAGGTATCTTCCCCCTTCTGATTCTTCTCTCATCCCCCCCATCCTCCTCCTCGTCCTCTGATCTCACAACCGCCCTCTGCTTTCGAACAGGTACCTTTCCCCCTCTGTGCCTCTCCTCCCCTCCCTCCTCCTCCCCCCCCTCCTCCTCCCCCCCCTCCTCCTCCTCCCCCTCCTCCTCGTCATCTGATCTCACAACCGCCCTCTGCTTTCGAACAGGTACCTTTCCCCCTCTGTGCCTCTCCTCCCCCCCCTCCTCCTCCCCCACCTCCTCCTCCCCCCCCCTCCTCCTCCTCCCCCTCCTCCTCGTCATCTGATCTCACAACCGCCCTCTGCTTTCGAACAGGTACCTTTCCCCCTCTGTGCCTCTCCTCCCCCCCCTCCTCCTCCCCCACCTCCTCCTCCCCCCCCTCCTCCTCCTCCCCCTCCTCCTCGTCATCTGATCTCACAACCGCCCTCTGCTTTCGAACAGGTACCTTTCCCCCTCTGTGCCTCTCCTCCTCCCCCTCCTCCTCCCCCCCCCTCCTCCTCCCCCCCCCCTCCTCCTCCTCCCCCTCCTCCTCGTCATCTGATCTCACAACCGCCCTCTGCTTTCTTTTCCTGCCCTCTAAGCTCTTCCTGCTTTCTTCTCCTCTAGTCTCTTCCCAACACTCCCCTCCTCCACCTTCCCTACTGTCTGCTCCCACTTCTGCTGTTCCTTCTGCATCCGATTCTGCTGCCACCCTCCCTTTCACTGCCCGTCTTCTAAGCCTTCTCCGTCTCCCCTCCACAGCCATATGATCCCTTTTTCCTGAATCATTATCATTCCCCTTTTCCAAATCACCCACTCGTTGGATACCACACCCTTCTGTTTTGTCACCACCCCCCACCACCACCACCTCCTCTCCCTCTTCTTCCATTGCAGCTAATCTCGCTGCCCGCTTTCTCGCTCTCTCCACCCTCTCCCTCTCTTTTTCTGCTGCCCGTTCTGCCCGTTCCAACCTCCTCCTCTCAGCCCTCTCCCTCGCCTCCCTCTCCCTCTCCCTCTCCTCCCTCCTCCTCCTCCCCTCCCATCTCCTTCCAAGCACCCCTGCAACTGCTTCCCGCTCCCCCTCTGCTGCTTTCGCAACTTCTGCAGTCAACCGGGCAGCCAAAAACTTTGTAACTGGTGCAAAAGCACTGTCTTGAACCTGCCCGAAAAAGATGGGCAGGGATCTGTGTGGAGCCCCCAGCTCCCAGAGGGATTTAATCTTCTCCTCCCTCCTGACCCCCCTTGCTCTCTCCATACTCTCTACTTCACCCAATGAGCCTTCCCCCTCATTACAGTCACAGCCACTCTTGCCACAATCACACCTGCTTCTGTCAAAGTAACCGTCACCTTTCTCACAGAGAGTTGATTTTCTGGGTAACCAGAATTGGAGGAAGAGAAGGAGGGAGCGCAGGTCGGTGGGGAGAGAGGAGAGTAGGAGAGAGAGGAGGGAGGGAGATGGGGGGACGGAGAGGGGTGCTTGCTCCGTGCAGACCTGGGATGAGAGTGTTGAAAAGGGGAACATAGCACAGGGGATGGGCAGTGGGGATCGGGAGAGGGCAAGGGAAGAGGGGAGCAGGTGAAGGGGATGATGCAGCTGACCCAGTACGAGCATACGACACAACCGAGGAACAGCACTCGCAAGCTTTGCACACACGAGTATGACTGCTCTTAACTTGTGCAGCAAAGGCAGCGCTTGGCGGGCGGAGGGCGTGGTGAAGGGGATGATGAAGCCAACCCAGTCACAGCACCACACGACTGAGAAAAATCACAAGCCCTATACACACGAGTATGGAAGCTCTCACCTTGTGCAGCAGCGGCAGCACTTGGCATGCTGAGGGCCTAGTAAAGGGAATGATGAAGCGAGTGAGGGCTGCGGGAAGGTTGGGGTTGGGAGCTGGAGGGGAATAGGGCAAGGCGAACAGGAGAGAAGAGGATGCATGGGGGGCAGGGATGAGGGAAAGAAGGTTCAATGCGTTATTTCTTGTGTAACTCGTACAGTTTGCGTGTGAATATCATTCGTAGATATAGTGATATGTGCACATATAGGAAAAAGGTCCAAGGTCTCAGGTTCAATACTCACAGTTGGCAGTAAACGGGGCGTTTGTTGCGCTGGCTGGAGGGACTCAGCAGCTGCACCAGCAGTGCAACAAAGCCCCTGTCCTCTAAAAGCAGAAGGTCTCAGGTTCGATACTCACAGTTGGCAGTTAGGATGATGGGGCGTTTGTTGCGCTGGCGGGAGGGACTCAGCAGCTGCACCAGCAGTGTAACGAAGCCCCTGTCCTCCTCTATAAGCACATCCACGTCCTCAAATAGAAGCACCGACGCTCCCATGCGCCTTGATTTAGCCGCAGGAACACCAAAAGCATCACCAGCAGCAGCAGGAACAGCAACAGCAGGATCAGCAGCAGCAGGGGCAGCAGGGACGGCAGCGGCAGCAGCAGCACGAGAGAAAGGGGTGCCACGTGGCAGGACGTGATTGGTGGAGAGGCGGTGCGAGAAGAGGAGCTCGGAGAACCTTCCACGAAGCAGCGCGCCGTCTCGAGCGTCAGAAGCGTTGACCTCCACGACTTGAAAACCGAGAGATGCTGCACAAGCGTATGCCGCTGCTGTCTTGCCGCTCTGATGAACAAGGGAACGGGAGAGAGGTGTGAAAGGTTAACGGCTTGAGGGCCTGGAAACAGAGGCATTGACCTCCACGACTTGGAAACCCAGGGATGATGCACAGGCGTATGCCGCTGCTGTCTTGCCGCTCTGAAACGGACGGAAAGGAAAGGAAAGAGGGAAGAGAGGGAGGCTGTTTGGCATGAAGCAGCGCTCCGTCAAGAGCGTCAGATGCGTTGACCTCCATGACTTGGAAGCCGAGAGCTGATGCACAGGCGTATGCAGCTGCTGTCTTGCCGCTCTGATGAAAGAGAAGAAAGAGGGGGGTAGATTTGCAGCACACGGGAGGAAACAAGAAGCACCACTCGCTCAAGATAAGGAGAGGCTGAAAGGGAAAGACGCACTCTTTCGGAAAAAGAAAGGCTCTTACCCCCACATGCCCTGTTCTCAGCACAGCACACAGCAGGAAACAGAATCACCGATGTTCTAAAGAAAAGAGAGGCTCTTTCAGAAAAACAAAGGCTCTTACCCCCACAGGTCCTGTTAGCAGCACAGCACATGGCAGCTGCTCCCCTTCCTCCTCCATCCAACCATCCGAGTCACTCCCCTCGTTATAATCACCCTCTGCACTGTAATCACTCCCACTACAGTCACGCTCCATGTCACCACCACCACTGTCACTATCGCTCCAGTCCTCCCTGTCGCCACTCTCTGTCCGAGCTCCAGTTCCAGATCTCTCCCTGTCCTCTTCATCAGAGCCCCTCCCCACTCTCCTTTGCTTCACTGCCCTTGCTCGCCTGCTCTGCCGGCCACCACTCGCTATTCTTCCATCACCCCCCACCATTACACCATCCCCTACTGCACCTGCCCCAACATGAGCATCCGCAGTGGCTGCAGCAGCACCACCAACGCCACCAGCAGAGCCAGGATTACCATAAGCAGCAGTATCAGCAGCAGCATCAGCAGCAGCATCAGCATCAGCATCAGCAGCAGCAGATGCAGCAACAGCAGCACCAAAAGCAGCAGCAGGATCCGCATTAGCAGCGGCACCGGCAGCTGCAAATTCAGCAGCTTGAGCCTGAGCATCACAGACGGGTGTAAACCCAAGGCGATTCTGCCACAACTGCAGCCACTGCAGCAACTCGTTAACAGCAGCCTCGTTGCCACATATCTGACAAAGATAGAGGGAGAAGGGAGACAGGCAGGCAGAGGACCCAACAGAGTCAGTCATCCTGAGAGATAGGTGTAAGACCACGCCCTGCCAAAGCTACAGCCACTGCAGCAACTCGTTAACAGCAGCCTCGTTACCACAAATCTGACAGGGAGAAAGGAATGGCTGACCTCTGCAGGGCTCTTTGGCTGGTAATGGCGCGACCACAGGTCACTCGCTGCTCCTACTGCTTCTGTTGCTCCTCCTGCTCCTTCTGTTACTTCTAATTTGGATCCCCCCACCACAGCCACCACAGCTGCTGCTTCTGTGGCAGAACCTGTGGCAGCACCTGTGGCAGCACCTGTGGCAGCACCTGTGGCAGCACCTGCTGCTGCACCTGCCTTCCCTTCTGTACCCTTTGCTGTGTCAACTGGCGTATCAACTGCTATATCAACTGCCGTATCAGCGTCCATATCAACTGCAGCATTAACTGCTGTATCAACTGCTGCATGCCCTGCTGCACCCTGTGCTGCTGCCGAGCATCCAGCAATAGAAGCTGCTCCCTGCTGTTGCTCTATCTTCTCCCCGAATCCTCCCTCCGTCCCCTCCCGCCCCCGCCTTGTCTCCTCCCCTTTTACCTCTCCCTTTCCCTCTTGGAACATTCTCCCATACACACCAGCAGCACAGCGGCCAAACAGCACTTGCCCGAGGGGGGGGAGCCCGGGGAGGGTGGGTTTCATACGATGCTGCTGCCGCTGCTCTTCCTTTTGAAACGTCACAACTAACGACTTCATACAATACTGCTGCTGCTGCTGCTGCTGGTCCTGTCCCTCCTTCGTCCCCTCTGCCTCTTGGGTTACATGGAAGGGATTTAGAGGCAGCAGAGGAACCTTCCGACCAGGAAACCTGATCACCCGCGCACCAAAGAACCCCCCACCACCAGCAGCCTTCCCACCTGCCCCAACTGCTGCCCCTCTCCCAGTAACACCTCCCCCGAAGCCACCAAGAACCCCATCCCTACCACTGGTTAATCCCCCTGGAGTGCCAACCCCCCCTGGCCCGTCAACATGACCAGACCCATCCACACGAGCAGAGCTATCAAGTCGCTCTGAGCCATCAACAACACCCTGTACACAGTTAGCAAGCCCTCCTGTCCCAGCAGCAGCTCCCCCCCTGCCTGCTCTCTGCAGCCACTGCTGGTACCACTCCCCTCTTGGCCGCTTCACCTCTACCACCCCCTCCTCCTCCTCACCCTCCTGCTTACTTACCCTCTCTCCTCTTGCCTCCTCTCTTGCCGCCCCCTTTTTTGCCTGCTCCTGCTTTTCAGTGCCGATCCCAATCCTTTTCTCCTCTCGCTTACCCCCTTTCCCTCCTGCTCCCCTGCCCCTGCCTCGCTTTCTCCCTCTTATCCCTTTGGTTCCCTTCTTCCTTCCTTCCCCACCACTCTCCTCCTCTTCCTCTTCCTCTTCCTCCTCTTCCTCGTCTTCCTCTTCATCTTCCTCCTCTTCTTCTTCTTCGTCTGAAATAACAACTGCTTTGGCCCTTCCTCTCCCTCCACCCCTACCCCTTCCCCCTCCTCTTCCTACCCCTCTTCCCCCTCCTCTCCCTCCCCTCCCTCTCCCTCCCAATGCTCCTCTCCCTCTCACTGCTGCCCTTCCTCTCCCTCTTCCACTCACTCTCTTTCCCCCATCCACCTCCCTCCCCACACACCCCACCACCACATCCTCTTCCCCTTCTGACAACTCCACTACAACAGCAGCAGCACCAGCAACAACAGCAGCAGCACTGCTGTTCCAGTTATTAGCAGCCTCGTTAGCAGCAGCAGCACGGACTGGCTTCGGCTGGCGTTGCCTGGGGAGAAAGAACGAGTGCATGGGCCGACCAGCAGTGGACTGAGCAAAGAGCTGTTGGGTTGGGGTAATGGGAAAGGTGGAGGTACGGGGTGGTGAAAGGGAGTGGGGAGTGGTAGCAACAGGCAGGGAGTCGCAGAGCAAGGAGACAAAGATAGAACGCATAGGAGATAGATGGAGAATAATGGAACTAAGACCTGCAAGCTGGTGAGTCTGTCTGTGCTGCCTTGTGCCCCCTCTTCATATAGCCACTGCTGAGCTGAAAAGACATCTCATTTGAGCTGTCTTGTGCGCCTCTTCCCGCATCCGTGCCTTCTCCCTCTCCACCTTAGCTTCCATGCTCTCCTCTTCCTCTTACTCAAGGCCCACCTGAGCCAACGCTCACACAATCTTCCACCCACCTGAGCTGTCTTGTGCGCCTCTTCTCGCATCCGTGCCTTCTCCCTCTCCACCTTAGCCTCCATGCTCTCCTCTTCCTCTTCTTCCTCGTCCTCTTCTTCTTCCTCCTCCTCTGCCTCCTCTTCCTCTTCTGCTTCCTCTTCCATTACTTGCACATCATCATCCGAGTCCTCTCCTTCCTTTCCCACCTCTTCTTCCTTCCCCACCTCGTCCTCCTTTCCCACCTCCCCATCCTTCCCCTCTGCTTCATCCTTAGCCCCCTCTCCCTGCAATGCCTCTTTCCTTGAATCTTCCTCAACCTCCTGAATATCAACCTCTCGTTTCACCCTTCTTACACACCCTTCATCCCCTGACACCGTCAAATCCACATCCTCACAAGCTTTACCACCCTCTTTTGTATCACCCTTTACCACCTCCGCACAAGTTTTATCACCTTCGTTATTATCACGCTCCGCCAACCCCTCACCAGCATAACCAGCTTCATTTGTATCACACAAGTACACAGGTAGCACCACCGCTCCCCCCCTATCAAACTCACCACCCACGGGCACAAACCGGATCCCTAGCATCATCTGCTGCAGCCGCTTCCCTCCTCTGGAAACAGGCCCTCTGCTCTCACTGTGACGCATTCCTTTCAAACTTTCGCGTGTGGCCTTTTGAGTCGCTGTAGCCTTCTGAGTCGTTGCAGCAGTGGGGTGCCCTTCAGCAGCAGGCTTTCCGCGTGTCCTTGGCCGTTCCTGCAAGGCATTTGGCTGGAAAAGACTCCTCTGCTTCAGCCTCCGACCTGGAATGAAGTCATTTCAAGGGGAGGGGAACACGTTGAGGGGATGGGGTTTAGAGTCCCATCACCTAGCAGGCTTTCTGTGCATGCTTGACTAGGGATGCTGAAGACAGCAGGAACAGGGATGGTGAAACCCGACCAAAAACGATACCGAACCAGAAAAGATACCCTAAATATCGGACAGTTTCTATGGGCCAGTCTTAGCACTGACGACTGGGACTTACCATAACGGGACGTCCCCACCCCGCCAAGCGCCTCTGCTACAGCAGGATGCTGAGATTCCACCAGCGGAGCGAGCTGTGCCGGGTGAACCAGGGCTGGTTGAGCTGCTTCAACCGGAGCAGCCTGAACTGGCCCACCAGAAACTGCTGCCGCTTCGCGAAGCGCCTCTGCTGCAGCAGGCGGTTGAGGTTCCACTGGGCCTGGTGAAGCGAGCTGTGCCTGGTCTACTGAGGGTGGCTGTGCTGCTGCTTCCTCCACTGGAGCAGCCTGAACCGGCCCACACCCACCAGAAACCGCAGCTGCTTTGCCAAGCGTCTCTGTTGCAGCAGTCGGTTGAGTTTCCACTGGTGAAGCGAGCTGTGCCTGGTGTGATAGGGCCGGCTGTGCTGCTGGTCCGGGTGTAGTGACACCAGCAGCAGCACCAGCAACTGTGACGGCGGGAGAAACTTCACCGGAAGCCGCATCAGCAGTAGGCGTGACAGTAACAGGAGCCTCACTTGCAGCTAAAGCAGTCGGTGCATCATGCTGCGGCATATCAGCAGCAGCATAAACAGCAGCAGTAGCAGTTTCACTTCCAGTGGTAGCAGCAGCTTCGGCAGCCCCAAAAGTCTGCTCTGCAGCATCCCCATTCTCATCGTCCCCTTTGCCGCACGGCCTAGTTTCAGCCCCGACCACGTCGACTGTCCCTTCCCTGCTGAAATCAACCACTCGCTCCTCCTTCTCCTTCACCGTCCCCTTTTGCTCATTCCCTTTCACCTCTTCGCGCTCCTTTTGTTGCACCTGTTGCCGAGTGTCTTCCCCATCCTCCTCCATCGCACTCAACTCCTCCATAACGCTCACACGCTTCCTCCCAACACCAACGCCTACGGGCGAGCCCACAGAGGACATGGACGCGACGACGGGTGTCGAATGAGCGGGTGACACGTCAGCTGCAGGGGCGGGTGACACGTCAGCTGGAGGGGCGACTGACATATCAGCTGCAAGAGCGGGTGACACGTCAGCTACAGGGGTGGCTGACATGTCAGCGGCTGACACGTCACCAGCCACTGCAGGATACGCCTCTGCTACCGTGGTACCCTCGACCGCCTCCATCTGTTTCCCTCCTTTCTTGGGTCGACCCCGCTTACGTTTCACCTCACCCACCCGCTGCTGCTGCTGCATCTGCTCTTCTTGCTGCTGCTGCTGCTGTTTCTTCTCTGCTTGTTTGCGCTTTCTCCTTTCCAGCGCGGGCAGGAAAAAGTCTGCATCAGGCGATGCGTAAGCGCAAGGGGAACAAAGAAAAAGAAAAACTGAGCCTTCAAACCCGTTAGGCCACCGACTCACAAATCATCAATGAAACTGCAAGAGACGGAAGACCCTACTTTGAATGATCGCATTTTCGTATTTGTGCAGCAGTTCTGGTGTCTGTCTGCTACTCATGTCATACCATGTCTTGGTGCTGATGGTGTTGCCGTAATGGGCGCTCCCTCCTCAGCCGCTGCCACCTGCTTGCCTCCATCAGCCTCCGCCGGAGCAACCTCCACTGGAACTGCCTTATCTGCAGAGGTTTCAGCAGCCATGCCAGTAACCGCTGGTTCGCCGGCGGCTGTTGCTGCTGCTGCAATGGTTGCTCCCTGCTCGGCTGTTGCCACCTCCTTGCTTCCGCTTCCACTAACCTCCGCTGGAGCGACCTCCACTGGCACTGCCTTTTCCGCAGCACTTACGCCCGCCAGGTCAGTATGCTTTGGTTCGCCAACGACTGATGCTGCTGCCCCAATGGTTTCTCCCTCCTCAGCTGCTGCCACCTCCTTGCTGCCACTTCCACCAACCTCTACCGTAACGACTGCAACAGGAACTGCCTTGTCAGGAACCACTGGTTTAGCAGCGGCTGATGCTGCTACAGCTGTATCAGCTTCTACAAGCTCCAAAGGCGTCGCTGGATTCATGGCGGCTGTTACAAACGCATCTGGCGATGTAACGCGTACATGATCGCCAGTTACCGGAGCAACTGCGTCTGCAGTCCCTGGGGAAGCATCAGTGGCTGCAGGTTTGATCTGAGCAGAGTGAGTGGGAGCAGTGCTATTAGTATTAGCAGTCTGGGACTTCGCACGAGAAAACATGTTCTTAAGGGTAGTTTCGCGCAGCCGCGTGGAGCGCACAGGGCGCTGCTTCCCCGCACCGCTCATCGCGGGTAAGGTGGAATGCTTCGCGCGGATGAGTCGGCTTGTTGCAATGACAGGAGTATAATGAGTCCTGTTGTTGCAATGACAGGCAGAAAATGAATCAGCTAGTTAAAGTGACCTGCCCGCGGAGGAGCGAATGCCCTGGCGAAGTGGACACGCCACTGGGAGCCGAACCGAGTTAACGAAACACGACGAGCTATAATCGAAGCATTATACAGGTGCACGCGCATGCGCAAAGCTAGCTGATGGTTAGATAATCGATAAGATACTTCTTGGAGACACGAGAACTCCATCTGACTTCATCGAATCACCTTCGAGTGCACACAAGCATAGCTCGTGCATCAGGAAGCTCAAGGGATTGTCATGTCACTGGATGACAACGCTACATAGACCAAACTTCCAGGATTGAGGTGAACAAACCAGCTAATGTCAGGTGTTCGTGGCGGGTTGTGGTTGAACGGGACGGGAGACGCCAGGGAATGGTGTCAGCAACAGAAGACTGTATCGACGCGATCCCTGGTGGTGAAGAGAGGTGCGTGTCGGTATTTTAACATCGTCAGCGTCCAACATGCTTCAGCTCGAAATTCAAACTTTTGAATTTTCCATGTGGTGATTTGTTCGTAACACCAGAAAATCGCAAAAATATTTTCGCATAGAGCTTGTACTCGCTGTGCGGTGCTGCGATGTGGGATTTCGTCGGCAACACAACTCCACGACCACCACCATCCAGTCGGGGTTTTCGTTCGTCCACTGTGGTTCCTCACGGTAGAACTGCACACAGACGTAACTAATTTTGACCGTACCAAACCGTGGTAGGTGAACTCGAATTTCCAACTTTGCCAGATCTCCCCCTCACCTATCAGGAGGGCAGCAGGACACACCATATGTGAGATGTTTCGTCAGCGTCACGCTGAACCCGAGCTTGATCAGGCAATGGATGATTCATTTATTTGACCTAGGAAACAACGGTGTCAGAGAATCAGCTAACGATTGTACGGCCTACAGTCCTTCGTTCACGCTTGAAGTCGGTGTTTCCGACATTGTTGCCTGACACATTTCGCGAGCCATGTTGGCGAGCTCACAGAAAGATCTAGGCGAGGACGAGACGGACGCCGTCTGTGACCCTGATGACGAGCAGATCTTCGAGTTTATTCAGCGGCTTCCTGGCGAGGCAAGCGCTGATGTCTATTGTTCCTGTTGTCGTCATTTCTCCTTTCAATCCGTGCATTGTAAGAACGCTTATCTTGGCGTATGTGTTAGGTCAGGCCATATCGGGGAGAGAAGAGCTCCTTAAAGCAATCCTCGCGTCGGTTAGCAGCAACAAGCGACCATCATCGCGTACTCAAGTTCTTCAAGGATTGCTGGTCCGTGCAAAGCTACATTCAAGTCTTTTTTTCATTTAACGGTTGTCCATCTGCGACCTACTTAGTCTGATTATTGCTTTTAACAGGATTGTTGGCAATCACCTTCGGGTATTGAGGAGGGTGCAAATGAAACGGCGAAATTGTACGCGGATTTGATATGGAGGACTCTGTGTCTTCAGACGGCTTATCATGCTGCAGCCATGGAAAAACCTTCTGTTGATTTCATGCTCTGCTTCTGGCAACTAACCACCGAGGTCCGTAATGGTTTTTTGTCGTAACCAACGTTCTTCAGCAACAACTTACTGATGCATTCTGTTGTTTCAGGCTTGCAGGCATGTATCGTCTATCCTGGATGATCACTTTGATGGATTGGCTTCGAATCTTTTGAGCATTCAACACCTTGCCGAACAGGTATTTTTTTGCTTGTTTGACCGTATGTCATACTTCGCTTGATTAATCTACGATGACACTAACATTGATCAATCTTCGTTTTCAGGCAATGAAGCTCATTGCCTTGTCTGCAGGAGCTCTTCTGAGTTTAATGGAATCTCAGCCTCTACTGCCTGTGAAAGAAATTGGCCAATTGATACAAGAATCATTCAAAATGATGTCTTCATCGTTTTTCTCCTCAAAGGTAGTCCCGTGGCTCTCAGTGATGTTGTATACTCCAATAAAAAAAAAAAAAAAAAAAACGTTCTCTAAATGTTATGTCGTGTGTCTGCTTTTTCAGGCTTTCCCATCTCAGTGGCAGGAAGCTTTCAAAAAACCCTTGATTGATGTGCTTGGCGCCTTTCACAACGTCAGTTCGTCTGCATTGAAACAGTTGGAGTCAGTTTCTCAGAGGATCAACAGCCGCTGGAATTCAGAGTCACCCAATGAAACTGATGAGGATACTGACATGGACCATCACAGCAAGGCGGTCATTGAAGACTTTAACCGCCTTGTGGCTCTTCTTTTTCGAAGCTTCGAAGCAGTTGGAACTGTTACAGCACGTATGGGCTCTCATTATGCGACTATCAACCTGGCCTGGAAGACAGTTGTATCTATTCTTGCAACTATGGCCCGGATTTTCCCTTCTCCACCGCCACGTTCGTTGCAGCAGCAGGCCCCTAAACATGAGAGTAACTACGACAGCGGACCTGGTGAAATAGATGAAGTGGATTTGCCACCATGGAGCCGTGAAGATGTTGTGCATGCAATCAGCATGCTGTTCCAGCATACGGCACGCGGTCTTGTCCTGGGAGCAGAGGCTGGAAGGCAGATGCTGGTCGAGCTCAATGCCAGGCTTGGGAAGCATCCACTTCGTGAAGAGGTCTATGTTGGGGAGGTTGACAACAGGACAGACGGAGATGAGGCGTACAGAGTTGAGGTAGAGAAGCTTAGTAAGAACCTTCAGCGAGTTTTTATGCTGACGAAGTTCTTCCAGAATAACGCCATTCGTGTGGCACTTCTTTACCCAGCAGAGGCATGTGATCCAGCCGCTTCAGAAGACATGGCCGGCCTGCTGTTCGCCTATGCGGGTCTCCTTCATTACAGTGATGGAGATGGAAGATGTGCAGAAGGCAGTGTACAGAAGGGGAGCGGTTTGAAGTGGCCAGTTCCGTTTGCGGTTGCAGAAGCTATGGCGCAGATGCTGGGTCCTACAATGTTTGGGCTTGTTCACAACATTCTGAGTTCGGAAAAAGTTTCAGAGAGTACCAAGTCGATCCTTATCCTCCAGATTCTCGCAGCAGCTGGATCCAGAGAACCACCACAGACCAATATGATTTGGAGGGTGGTTTCATCTGCAGGCGTCAATGCCGAAGGTTCAACGAAGGGTGAGAGCTGTTATCAATCAGCACGAAACAATCTGATTGGTCTGGAGCAGCACAGCCCAGAAGTGGCTGAGTGGCAGTCGTGTGGGAGGTTGGTGACTGCCACCACAGTCCTGGAAGGGGCTACTTCATACAGTGACCAAGTGCTGAGTGTGGTGACCAATAACCTGGGTCATTTAGTCAGTCTGGCTGCAGACCAGCATTCCTACGTCCCACTGCTCTCTCGAGTCATCTGGCCATTTCAAAACCAGCGGAGGGAGGGAATTGACAAGGGGGGGGCAGCGGCAGCAGGAAGGACAACGAGGCGGGTGGTCCTGTTTTCACAACTAACCCGTGGACTCAAGGTCCTTGTGGCTGTCATTGGTACCAGAGTTACCAGTTCGTGTGATCCCGCTTCCAGGGATGTGGAACAAAAGATTTTGGGGTCTTTGGCACTTTGGGAGGAGCTTGAAGCCTTTCTTTTTCAAAATGCAGTGCACCAGCATCCCATCTGTGCAGATTTTGCGCGGGACACGTGGTGCTTCCTCATTCGACGTTCAGACTCTCAGCTTGCGAGAAGGCACGCAGAGCTGTTACTTCGGTCTGTTCAGGCCTCTGTGCAAACCGTCGTGAAGAATGAATCCAGACCTCATGCCAAAGGTTTGAGTGGAAGCAGTGCTACAGGACTGCTGGGCATTGTGACTGGGCTGGAGGAACGGCTAGTCTGTGCAACGGTCGATGTCCTCATGGCATGCCCTGATACGACTGTATCTGATGTCTTCCTCAAGCCGTTTGTCCGGCACATCAACTCATCATTTTCAAAGTTTTCGGCTTCAGCAGGAACTGCCAGTGCAGTTTCACAACACAGCCGCACTGCAACTTCTTTCCCGCCCAAGTCTATCAGCCAGGAAATCGCTTATGTTCTAGCTTTCTCTCAACTTTTGGACCGTGGAATGGCAGCAGGGATTCACAGACGCCAGCCAGCTGCTCTCCTCCCAGTTGCGCGTGCATGCTTTGGTGCGGCACGTGCTGCAACGGCTAATATCATGGCAAATGCATCCCAGGGCGTTTCATGGGAGAAGGTGGCTTTGCTTGGAAGCATGCTGACGAGCATCACGGCTGTGCTCCGTGAGAGGTATTTATTATCAGCTATGAATGAAATTCTGTCCTTTTCTTCGCATGTTCACCATTTCCTCTTGTCCATGTTACTTGTTTATCACATGCTCCTTCATCATTGTACTTATGAATCCTTCACTTGATTTCAGGGTTGAATCTTCCATGAGTGGCACCACTGGGCTTCCTGCTGTCTTCCCGAACACGAAGGACCTTGTCAAGTTGGCTGCAGATGCCACAAATCTGCATGTTCCAACTGATATGGTCAATGGCAGGCATGGTCAACTCACTGGCTCTGGAAGCAATCAGAACAGGGTCCCCTACTCAGATACCCCCATGATTGATTTGGACTGTGGTACCAAGGGGAAGCTGAACGGTGGAACACAGCAGCCATTGCTTGCAAGGGCTGCCCAGTTACTTGCTGCCGTGAGCAGAACCTCAGATGGAATCAGTGTGACTGATGTGGAACCAGTCCTCCATGCCATGTTGCATG